TGAAGATGCTAAATCGCCAGTTGCTGAGAAAGTAACTACGCCAGAAATCGAAGAACCAGAGCAGCAGGCAGTGGTTGACGCTAAATCGCCAGTTGCAGAGAAAGTAACAACGCCTGCAAAGGAGGAAATTAAACCAGTTGCTACTGAAGATGCTAAATCGCCAGTTGCTGAGAAAGTAACTACGCCAGAAATCGAAGAACCAGAGCAGCCGGCAGTGGTTGACGCTAAATCACCAGTTGCAGAGAAAGTAACAACGCCTGCAAAGGAGGAAATTAAACCAGTTGCTACTGAAGATGCTAAATCGCCAGTTGCTGAGAAAGTAACAACGCCTGTAAAGGAGGAAATTAAACCAGTTGCTACTGAAGATGCTAAATCGCCAGTTGCTGAGAAAGTAACAACGCCTGTAAAGGAGGAAATTAAACCAGTTGCTACTGAAGATGCTAAATCGCCAGTTGCTGAGAAAGTAACAACGCCTGTAAAGGAGGAAATTAAACCAGTTGCTACCGAAGAGGCTAAATCGCCGGTTGCAGACAAAGTAACTACGCCAGAAATCGAAGAACCAGAACAGCCGGCAGTGGTTGACGCTAAATCACCAGTTGCAGAGAAAGTAACAACGCCTGCAAAGGAGGAAATTAAACCAGTTGCTACTGAAGATGCTATATCGCCAGTTGCAGACAAAGTAACTACGCCAGAAATCGAAGAACCAGAGCAGCCGGCAGTGGTTGACGCTAAATCACCAGTTGCAGAGAAAGTAACAACGCCTGCAAAGGAGGAAATTAAACCAGTTGCTACTGAAGATGCTAAATCGCCAGTTGCAGACAAAGTAACTACGCCTGCAAAGGAGGAAATTAAACCAGTTGCTACTGAAGATGCTAAATCACCAGTTGCAGAGAAAGTAACAACGCCTGCAAAGGAGGAAATTAAACCAGTTGCTACTGAAGATGCTAAATCGCCAGTTGCAGACAAAGTAACTACGCCTGAAATCAAAGTACCAGAAGAGCCGGCAGTGGTTGACGCTAAATCACCAGTTGCAGAGAAAGTATCAACGCCTGCAAAGGAGGAAATTAAACCAGTTGCTACTGAAGATGCTAAATCGCCAGTTGCAGACAAAGTAACTACGCCTACAAAGGAGGAAATTAAACCAGTTGCTACTGAAGATGCTAAATCGCCAGTTGCAGACAAAGTAACTACGCCTGAAATTGAAGAACCAGAACAGCCGGCAGTGGTTGACGCTAAATCACCAGTTGCAGAGAAAGTAACTACGCCTGCAAAGGAGGAAATTAAACCAGTTGCTACTGAAGATGCTAAATCGCCAGTTGCAGACAAAGTAACTACGCCTACAAAGGAGGAAATTAAACCAGTTGCTACTGAAGATGCTAAATCACCAGTTGCAGAGAAAGTAACAACGCCTGCAAAGGAGGAAATTAAACCAGTTGCTACTGAAGATGCTAAATCGCCAGTTGCAGACAAAGTAACTACGCCTGAAATTGAAGAACCAGAACAGCCGGCAGTGGTTGACGCTAAATCGCCAGTTGCAGAGAAAGTAACAACGCCTGCAAAGGAGGAAATTAAACCAGTTGCTACTGAAGATGCTAAATCGCCAGTTGCAGAGAAAGTAACTACGCCTGAAATTGAAAAACCAGAACAGCCGGCAGTGGTTGACGCTAAATCGCCAGTTGCAGAGAAAGTAACAACGCCTGCAAAGGAGGAAATTAAACCAGTTGCTACTGAAGATGCTAAATCGCCAGTTGCAGAGAAAGTAACTACGCCTGAAATTGAAGAACCAGAACAGCCGGCAGTGGTTGACGCTAAATCGCCAGTTGCAGAGAAAGTAACAACGCCTGCAAAGGAGGAAATTAAACCAGTTGCTACTGAAGATGCTAAATCGCCAGTTGCAGACAAAGTAACTACGCCTGAAATTAAAGAACCAGAACAGCCGGCAGTGGTTGACGCTAAATCACCAGTTGCAGAGAAAGTAACTACGCCTGCAAAGGAGGAAATTAAACCAGTTGCTACTGAAGATGCTAAATCGCCAGTTGCAGACAAAGTAACTACGCCTGAAATTAAAGAACCAGAACAGCCGGCAGTGGTTGACGCTAAATCACCAGTTGCAGAGAAAGTAACAACGCCTCCAAAGGAGGAAATTAAACCAGTTGCTACTGAAGATGCTAAATCGCCAGTTGCAGAGAAAGTAACTACGCCTGAAATTGAAGAACGAGAACAGCCGGCAGTGGTTGACGCTAAATCGCCAGTTGCAGAGAAAGTAACAACGCCTGCAAAGGAGGAAATTAAACCAGTTGCTACTGAAGATGCTAAATCGCCAGTTGCAGACAAAGTAACTACGCCTGAAATTAAAGAACCAGAACAGCCGGCAGTGGTTGACGCTAAATCACCAGTTGCAGAGAAAGTAACTACGCCTGCAAAGGAGGAAATTAAACCAGTTGCTACTGAAGATGCTAAATCACCAGTTGCAGAGAAAGTAACTACGCCTGAAATTGAAGAACTAGAACAGCCGGCAGTGGTTGACGCTAAATCGCCAGTTGCAGAGAAAGTAACAACGCCTGCAAAGGAGGAAATTAAACCAGTTGCTACTGAAGATGCTAAATCGCCAGTTGCAGACAAAGTAACTACGCCTACAAAGGAAGAAATTAAACCAGTTGCTACTGAAGATGCTAAATCACCAGTTGCAGAGAAAGTAACAACGCCTGCAAAGGCGGAAATTAAACCAGTTGCTACTGAAGATGCTAAATCGCCAGTTGCAGACAAAGTAACTACGCCTGAAATTGAAGAACTAGAACAGCCGGCAGTGGTTGACGCTAAATCACCAGTTGCAGAGAAAGTATCAACGCCTGCAAAGGAGGAAATTAAACCAGTTGCTACTGAAGATGCTAAATCGCCAGTTGCAGACAAAGTAACTACGCCTGAAATCGAAGAACCAGAACAGCCGGCAGTGGTTGACGCTAAATCACCAGTTGCAGAGAAAGTAACAACGCCTGCAAAGGAGGAAATTAAACCAGTTGCTACTGAAGATGCTAAATCGCCAGTTGCAGAGAAAGTAACAACGCCTGCAAAGGAGGAAATTAAACCAGTTGCTACTGAAGATGCTAAATCGCCAGTTGCAGACAAAGTAACTACGCCTGAAATCGAAGAACCAGAACAGCCGGCAGTGGTTGACGCTAAATCACCAGTTGCAGAGAAAGTAACAACGCCTGCAAAGGAGGAAATTAAACCAGTTGCTACTGAAGATGCTAAATCGCCAGTTGCAGACAAAGTAACTACGCCAGAAATCGAAGAACCAGAACAGCCGGCAGTGGTTGACGCTAAATCACCAGTTGCAGAGAAAGTAGCAACGCCTGCAAAGGAGGAAATTAAACCAGTTGCTACTGAAGATGCTAAATCGCCAGTTGCAGACAAAGTAACTACGCCAGAAATCGAAGAACCAGAACAGCCGGCAGTGGTTGACGCTAAATCACCAGTTGCAGAGAAAGTATCAACGCCTGCAAAGGAGGAAATTAAACCAGTTGCTACTGAAGATGCTAAATCGCCAGTTGCAGACAAAGTAACTACGCCAGAAATCGAAGAACCAGAACAGCCGGCAGTGGTTGACGCTAAATCACCAGTTGCAGAGAAAGTAGCAACGCCTGCAAAGGAGGAAATTAAACCAGTTGCTACTGAAGATGCTAAATCACCAGTTGCAGAGAAAGTAACAACGCCTGCAAAGGAGGAAATTAAACCAGTTGCTACTGAAGATGCTAAATCGCCAGTTGCAGAGAAAGTAACAACGCCTTCAAAGGAGGAAATTAAACCAGTTGCTACTGATGATGCTAAATCGCCAGTTGCAGAGAAAGTAACAACGCCTGCAAAGGAGGAAATTAAACCAGTTGCTACTGAAGATGCTAAATCACCAGTTGCAGAGAAAGTAACAACGCCTGCAAAGGAGGAAATTAAACCAGTTGCTACTGAAGATGCTAAATCGCCAGTTGCAGACAAAGTAATTACGCCTGCAAAGGAAGAAATTAAACCACCCGCTACTGAAGATGCTAAATCGCCAGTTGCAGACAAAGTAACTACGCCTGCAAAGGAGGAAATTAAACCAGTTGCTACTGAAGATGCTAAATCGCCAGTTGCAGACAAAGTAACTACGCCTGAAATTGAAGAACCAGAACAGCCGGCAGTGGTTGACGCTAAATCACCAGTTGCAGAGAAAGTAACAACGCCTGCAAAGGAGGAAATTAAACCAGTTGCTACTGAAGATGCTAAATCGCCAGTTGCAGACAAAGTAACTACGCCTGAAATTGAAGAACTAGAACAGCCGGCAGTGGTTGACGCTAAATCACCAGTTGCAGAGAAAGTAGCAACGCCTGCAAAGGAGGAAATTAAACCAGTTGCTACTGAAGATGCTAAATCACCAGTTGCAGAGAAAGTAACAACGCCTGCAAAGGAGGAAATTAAACCAGTTGCTACTGAAGATGCTAAATCGCCAGTTGCAGACAAAGTAACTACGCCTGAAATTGAAGAACCAGAACAGCCGGCAGTGGTTGACGCTAAATCACCAGTTGCAGAGAAAGTAACAACGCCTGCAAAGGAGGAAATTAAACCAGTTGCTACTGAAGATGCTAAATCGCCAGTTGCAGACAAAGTAACTACGCCTACAAAGGAGGAAATTAAACCAGTTGCTACTGAAGATGCTAAATCGCCAGTTGCAGACAAAGTAACTACGCCTGAAATTGAAGAACCAGAACAGCCGGCAGTGGTTGACGCTAAATCACCAGTTGCAGAGAAAGTAACAACGCCTGCAAAGGAGAAAATTAAACCAGTTGCTACTGAAGATACTAAATCGCCAGTTGCAGACAAAGTAACTACGCCTGCAAAGGAGGAAATTAAACCAGTTGCTACTGAAGATGCTAAATCGCCAGTTGCAGACAAAGTAACTACGCCTGAAATTGAAGAACCAGAACAGCCGGCAGTGGTTGACGCTAAATCACCAGTTGCAGGAAAGTAACAACGCCTGCAAAGGAGGAAATTAAACCAGTTGCTACTGAAGATGCTAAATCACCAGTTGCAGAGAAAGTAACTACGCCTGAAATCAAAGAACCAGAAGAGCCGGCAGTGGTTGACGCTAAATCACCAGTTGCAGAGAAAGTAACAACGCCTGCAAAGGAGGAAATTAAACCAGTTGCTACTGAAGATGCTAAATCGCCAGTTGCAGACAAAGTAACTACGCCTGAAATCGAAGAACCAGAACAGCCGGCAGTGGTTGACGCTAAATCACCAGTTGCAGAGAAAGTAACAACGCCTGCAAAGGAGGAAATTAAACCAGTTGCTACTGAAGATGCTAAATCACCAGTTGCAGAGAAAGTAACAACGCCTGCAAAGGAGGAAATTAAACCAGTTGCTACTGCAGATGCTAAATCACCAGTTGCAGAGAAAGTAACAACGCCTGCAAAGGAGGAAATTAAACCAGTTGCTACTGAAGATGCTAAATCGCCAGTTGCAGAGAAAGTAACTACGCCTGCAAAGGAGGAAATTAAACCAGTTGCTACTGAAGATGCTAAATCGCCAGTTGCAGACAAAGTAACTACGCCTGAAATCAAAGAACCAGAACAGCCGGCAGTGGTTGACGCTAAATCACCAGTTGCAGAGAAAGTAACAACGCCTGCAAAGGAGGAAATTAAACCAGTTGCTACTGCAGATGCTAAATCACCAGTTGCAGAGAAAGTAACTACGCCTGAAATCAAAGAACCAGAAGAGCCGGCAGTGGTTGACGCTAAATCGCCAGTTGCAGAGAAAGTAACAACGCCTGCAAAGGAGGAAATTAAACCAGTTGCTACTGAAGATGCTAAATCGCCAGTTGCAGACAAAGTAACTACGCCTGCAAAGGAGGAAATTAAACCAGTTGCTACTGAAGATGCTAAATCGCCAGTTGCAGACAAAGTAACTACGCCTGAAATTGAAGAACCAGAACAGCCGGCAGTGGTTGACGCTAAATCACCAGTTGCAGAGAAAGTAACAACGCCTGCAAAGGAGGAAATTAAACCAGTTGCTACTGAAGATGCTAAATCGCCAGTTGCAGACAAAGTAACTACGCCTGAAATTGAAGAACTAGAACAGCCGGCAGTGGTTGACGCTAAATCACCAGTTGCAGAGAAAGTATCAACGCCTGCAAAGGAAGAAATTAAACCAGTTGCTACTGAAGATGCTAAATCGCCAGTTGCAGACAAAGTAACTACGCCTGAAATTGAAGAACCAGAACAGCCGGCAGTGGTTGACGCTAAATCACCAGTTGCAGAGAAAGTAACAACGCCTGCAAAGGAGGAAATTAAACCAGTTGCTACTGAAGATGCTAAATCGCCAGTTGCAGACAAAGTAACTACGCCTGAAATTGAAGAACTAGAACAGCCGGCAGTGGTTGACGCTAAATCACCAGTTGCAGAGAAAGTATCAACGCCTGCAAAGGAAGAAATTAAACCAGTTGCTACTGAAGATGCTAAATCGCCAGTTGCAGACAAAGTAACTACGCCTGAAATTGAAGAACTAGAACAGCCGGCAGTGGTTGACGCTAAATCACCAGTTGCAGAGAAAGTAACTACGCCTGCAAAGGAGGAAATTAAACCAGTTGCTACTGAAGATGCTAAATCGCCAGTTGCAGACAAAGTAACTACGCCTGAAATTGAAGAACCAGAACAGCCGGCAGTGGTTGACGCTAAATCACCAGTTGCAGAGAAAGTAACAACGCCTGCAAAGGAGGAAATTAAACCAGTTGCTACTGAAGATGCTAAATCGCCAGTTGCAGAGAAAGTAACTACGCCTGAAATCAAAGAACCAGAAGAGCCGGCAGTGGTTGACGCTAAATCACCAGTTGCAGAGAAAGTAACAACGCCTGCAAAGGAGGAAATTAAACCAGTTGCTACTGAAGATGCTAAATCGCCAGTTGCAGACAAAGTAACTACGCCTGAAATTGAAGAACTAGAACAGCCGGCAGTGGTTGACGCTAAATCACCAGTTGCAGAGAAAGTAACTACGCCTGCAAAGGAGGAAATTAAACCAGTTGCTACTGAAGATGCTAAATCGCCAGTTGCAGATACAGTAACTACGCCTGAAATTGAAGAACCAGAACAGCCGGCATTGGTTGACGCTAAATCGCCAGTTGCAGTTAAAGTAATTACGCCTACAAAGGAAGAAATTAAACCAGTTGTTACTGAACAAACTAAATCGCTAGTTGCCGGGAAAATCACTACTCCAGGAATTGAAGAACCAGAACAGCCGGCAGTGGTTGACGCCAAATCACCTGTTGCAGAGACGGTAACAACTCCGACAAAGAAAGAACCGACACCGGTTGCAATTGATGCTAAATCGCCAGTTGCTGAGAGTCTCACTACTTCTGAAATTGAAGAACCTGCTACCGTTGACGCAAAATCACTTATTGCAGAGAAAGTGACTTCACCTGCAAAGGTAGAATGTAAACCGGTTGCAATTGATGATGCGAATTCGTCAGTTGCGGATAAGATTATCACTCCGGAAGCTGATGAAACCGAGCGACCAGTTACCAGTGCCGACAAATCTCTGATCCACGTGAATATTGGTAGAGATGACACAAAAACATCTATTGATAAAATTGATACAATATTTGTGAGTAGTGAAGTTCCGCCTTTGGTAAATGGGACTTTCCCGACTCATTCGAGACTCAGTGTTATTGAAAAAGAAGAGTTTGAGCCAAGTGGACCAGATTGCATGCAGTCGACAATTAATGGAAAAACTATTTCTTTAGAAATGAAAACCATAATTTCTGAAAGTTCTAGGTCAACTTTATATGACGTTTCATTATCTAAATCGAAAACTCGCACTATTGTAGATGAAGACACAACAAATATTGTTGAAGTTGCGAGTCTCACTATTAGTAAGCATGAGACTGACGCATTAGGAAGTGATGCTGCTTCCGCTGATAAGGATCGCCTAGCACTATTTGGAGTTGATAAGACTGAAGCGTTAGAAGTGCAAAAGAAAACAGATTCGAGTGAAACAACATCTTCCGAAAGCAAAATATCATTTACGAGTATTAAACAACCATCTACGCACGTTTCATATTCCCCTGATATTGTCTCACAAGTATTTGTTGATCAGTTATGTCCGACAATTGAAACTGATACCGAATTATCAACCGACGAACATTCTGTTAAAGCAAAACCTGAACGTATAATTGATTCAGATGATGAAAAAGATTCTGTAAAGTTAGAAAATATTGCAGAATATACTTCTACTATGAAAACACTGGATCTTACGAAAGTTACAACAACTGCATCAAGCTTGATTGATCAGCAGAAAGAAACGGTTTCAACCATTTATGAAGGCACTTCTGAGAAAGCAGATTCTCCTGTTGATTCATTGGATGGATCTGATAAATCAATGCATGGAAGTGAAGAGGATTCATTAGCTCCCAAGGGCGATGATGTAAGTGCGTCACCTACAACAGATTCATTAGAAAAAAGTACAATTGACTTTTCACACATCGCCGAACAATCGAAAGTATCAATAGGCAAAATGGAAACGCATGAAGAAGAAAGCACACAATCCTCAAAAATTGTAGCAACACACATTGTTTCTAGTGTTCAAAAAAGATCTATTGATCATGTTGAAGATGCTACTAAAACAACTACAACTACTACTGCAACAAAAGACAAAAAGCAGGAACCAACAGCTCCGGTTAAAATAGATGATGATAAAAGTGTGCAAGATTTAAATGAAGGTTCTTCAGGTACTTTCAGCACCACTGAAACAATTGATACTTCAGAATCATCTATTAAATCCCAACTTGAACCCCATTTGCAGGAGGTCGCCGACGTCGTAAGCGTCATCGCCGGCGCAGATGAGAAACTTACTTTAGTCAAAGTTGGAGCTCCTGAAAGCAAACAATCTATTACAACAGAACACACTGAACATCAGTCTACAGCAAAACAAACATCTACTTCTACACAAAGTCACAGTAAAACAATAACAAAGAGTATAACAACTTCTGCAACTACGACAACATCCAGCACGCTGCATGATTCTGAAGTTTGTTCAACAGGTATGCATAGTGACTCGTCTGCTACAGTATCAGTAGATGTACAGGCTAATAATGTAAATACGTTAGAAGTAGTTACATTAAGGCGTACTTCCAAAGCTAATGTAGATGACAGTATGAAACATAGTGATTCGGCAAAGTTTTCTGAAACTGACGTCGAACCTCTTTCTTCTGAAACCGATTCTTCCTTCAAACATGATTTACAGCTTAAGGGCGAGCGGGCTTCTTCTAAATTAAAATCAGAAGCATCACAATATGATACTGATTCACCGCGTAGCGATGACACTGAATATACAGAATCGCACATTGAGTCAATCATTGAGCGCGATTACTCTCGGCGTCAGGATTTGATTGAGCACAAGGACCTGACTCAATTTGATAATATTGCTTCAGGAGATATTATCATGGATGATGATATTATACAAATAACAGTACATACGCCTGAAATTCCAGCAGAGAAACCAGAAAAAATTGATGACAGAAAAGCTACTTCGAAATTGCGTAAACATACATATATTCGTAAAGTCAGTGAAAAACGTGACGTGAGTAAACAAACCCGTACATTTAGTCCGCGATTACGTATTGTCAAAGTCTCAACTGAAACTGACGTAAGTTCTGATGAAGAGAAACAAAAAGATAAGCAGCAGTCTAAAGACAAATCTCATGTACGCAAAGCAACCAGCGGTTCTTCATCCGTAACCAGTTCGCCATGCAAAATACCAAAGCTAAAACGCGAATCACAAACAAAGAAAACGTCAACTGTGATTACAGATGTTGCGCAACAGAAGAAATACGAATCAAAATCTAAACCTTTCCAAATTGTGCATCAGCCGTACAAACCACCTAAAGTTACCAGAATGTATGGATACATGCAATCAACGTTATCACGAGATATGAAAATAGAAAAGAAAGAATCTGAATCTAAACGAATTATTACTCAACCTAAAACTAAATCAAAGAAAGAACAGGATAATGCTAACAGAAAAACTAAAGATTCAAAGTCAGCTGAAGGAAAAAGAGCAATTCATGCATATGAGAGAACAACAATTTCTTCCGAAAATAAATCACGTGAAGGTACACCGGTAAAACAACGTACTATTAAGGATAATCGTGACAGTCCTCAATACTTATCAAGGACTATTAGCTATTCATCGGACAGTTCAACTCGAAGTGTACTAAAAGAAGTAACGTTGACTAGTAACATCACAAAGAGTGACAAAAAGTCCGTTAAAATAAACGAAATTGACATTGAAAAGTCTGAAGGTATTAAGTACGGTAAAGCTGAAATTCCTCCTCGCATTCACAGTCCTAAGCCATCTCCATCGCCAACAAAATTACGGCGTACTATGCCAATGGAGGAGCACTTGAAGAAAGTTTCCATCAGCGAAAAGTCGATATTTGCCCCGTCCTACAAGCCGTCGACAGATTCTGAAAGAACCGTCCAATTTTCCGACCGTAATAGAAGCCAATCCGTGACTACATATCGCGCAAAGACACCTGAAGGACCACTATTAGATCGTGGCCGGTCGCCATCATCCTTACCCGGCAGTCCAATTCGTGCGCGTTCTGCAAATGGCAGTACCCAAGTAATCACTTCAGAAGTTTTCACGAGTCATGATCAAACTGGATCTATTGAAGTGATTTATCGCCAGCCGTATGAGAATTTAAAACGGCATCGAACAGAAGGCGAAATGTCAATGATTGATACAACTGATTCGAGTTTATCTGAATCTATTGCTTTGCCAAGCTCTCCCTCCGATCATGAAATCAGTTCCGATGCGAATGGGCATCGTCAAAAGTCGTCCTCGCCTCCTTCCCCAAAATCTTCGCGCAAATCACTCGAATCAATTCAAGAAACGTACCGGGTCAGTGATCTTATAACATGTGCACAAATGTCCGGTGAACAAGTATTGACATTCGAAGAAATCCAAGACCGATTCCAAATCTCAGAGGATGAGAGTGTGAAGCTACCTCGACAGTTATTAATGTCGCAAATAGAGAAACAATACGAAGCTACCTCATCGTCTTATGAGCGCACCACGTCCACGTCAGCCATTAAATCGCAAGAACCACCGAAAGATCAGGAAGCGATTAAAACTGAAGAAGAGGAAAAGAGTTCAGGTATCACACGTTCTGTGTTGCCTGAAACTGCTGATCCAACCCACAGCATGGCTTACCCAGTACCAGATGAGGTATAAATTATTTAGAGGCAGTAATTACGCTTTCCTTTCTGCTTTGTTGTATTAAACACAGTCGCACAAAAAGTAATTTAATTAAACAACTACAGGTATGGTATTATTATTCTGTAAAAATTCGTAGTAGGTACATGGTGGTCGTTAGTGTATTTCAAATTGTTAACTTTTTATTTTTCCCCTTAAGGTGTGAACTATTTACCGCAGCATTTACGATGAATTTAAACATTCCTCGTATTTCGATTACGTCCGACACGGATGACACCGACTTGTCGCGTTTGAATATTCAAGAAGCTGTTACTGATATCGAGGATTTAGATATTCCGAAACAAAAAAAGAAACGAAAACGTAACAAGGCAAAAGTTAATCAACAAGTTATCGAAAATGATTTGACTGATGTAGAGGACATTGAAGGATCTGGAGACGAATTGCAGACAAAAATAATTTCGCATGCTAATCCTATGAAACTTGATGATTTAAATATGGATCAAGGCTATATCATGGAATCATATAATTCTAAGAATCAGAAAGGTTACAATCAATTAAATACTCATGTTACACGAAATGCGGCTAAAAACCGTAACTTTTTAAAATCAGATTATGACGAAACTGAAGGTATAACTGATGTTGAAGATATTTATGCTTCAGATGACGAAGCTTCTCATGGAAGTAGTGTACCCGATACAGAACTACCATTGGAATATGATGATAATGTTGTAACTGATAGCACCAAACATGATATGCGCAGAAAGTCGGTTTCTATGTCTCCAATCGCTTGTTACTCAGATTGCGATTCTGATCATAATAAACCAAATCGAAAACATACTAATTCAAAACTTTTATTGGTAAATGCAACAGTTAACAATATTATTACTGATCAGGAAATGCTTTCGGACTCAGCAGATGAGGCTGAGACTAAAAAAGTTAAAAAGGTCCGTAGGCGACGTCCAAAAGGAAGCATGCGAAACAGAGGTGCAGTGACAGACATCGAAGATGTAGATTTATCTATTGAAGACGCAAAAAAGCAATGTATTTAAAAGACCTAACAAAGAGAGTAAACGAAAACCATTTCATCAAACTGAATCCATGATGTATTTCAGCGATAATGAAGATTGTGAATTCTTAGAGCCTAAAATTAAACCAAAACCTACTTTGGGTAAAACTCTAGCTCTACCGTCAGATGCAGATTTGGGTCTTACTGATGTTGATGACTTAGACGTGTCAGATGTAGAAGAGTACACTTATGATTGTACTGCGATTGAAAAGAAAATTGCTATATTAACTGATACATGCGGTGAGATATCAGAACAATCACAACCAAAAGTTAAATTAGCATCAGCCGAGAATTCAGATGTTGATGATGATGATCAATATTATGACATTCATTTTAAAACAATTCCTAAAAATGACAACTTATTATGCATTCCTCTGGAGAAACCAGCGGGAGAAACAGACATAGAAGATTTGGATTCTGACGAAGCATCAATTATTAAAATAGCTTACGTCAAAAAGATTACGAAACATGATACAGATATTGAAGAATTTTCTGATGATGATTGTCATTTAATAACACACAAAAAGAAAGCTAAACTACCCGAATCTAAAAGAGATTTGATTATTATAAAAGAAAATAAAACAGGAAAACCTACAGTTGTAGTGTTGCCACTTGATGAATACGTTAACAATGAATTAATTGCCGAAGCAGCAACAGATCTTGAAGATTTCTCAGATGAAGATAATTTCTTATCGCCTTGTCCATCACGTCGTTGTTCAACTCCAAATGTTATACAACTTGATGGCGGGGTCATATACGATCATCAAGGGGTCAGCAAATTTAACGATGCTTCCTTAGAGGACACTTTAACTGACACCGAAGACTTGAATGTCAAAACTAAACCAAATCCTGTGCCAAAGAAGTTAGGCAACAGATTATTTATACCTGGAAAGGCTCCTCGTTATAATACTTGTCAAGAAGTAAAAACAGATGTAGAAGATCTCTCAGACGACATTAATATTGACGATGATGAAATTGAACCTGATATACATCAAAATCAATTGATTCCACAATGTGACGGCACTACTGACATAGAAAACTTTGAAGCCTCTGACTTGGAATCTGTTTACAGACCTATTTCACCTGATGAAATGGGCGAAATTGATTCTACTTATATTATAACAATGGAAGGAGCTAATAAAACAGAGCACTTATTAAACATACCAAAATTTGGCTGCAATCAAAATTCGTTTACTCCTAATCAGACAGAATGCGAAGACATGCAAGCTTCTTGTGAAGAAGACGTGGCTTGGTATTCAGATCATTCATCGAGTGAAATTCGTCAACAGTTAAATGAAAACTGTTGGAGCCAAGTGAACACTACATTGGCAAGCAAGTTAAATATGGCGGAGGAAGCACAATGGTTGCGTTGTGGTCCACTTCCTCAGCCATTAACTGATGTTGAAAGTCTTGATGACGACGTTGTGGAAGCGACGGAGGATTATAGTCTTGCAGGTAACATATAAATAGCGCTCGTCAGCTACTTGATATATAGGTATTATTATTATTTATTTATTTATTGGCGGATAATGAATTATTGCGTATTTGCACAAATTAAACATGTTCTTGTTAAAAGAACATAATATAACTTATAATGTAAGTAAATGTATGCTCACTACAGCTAAACAAGGTACAAGTATGAATTTAAACATTTGGCATGCTTATTGTCTAGTTTTAAGGTCTTGTATGATTAAGATTTGGCGGATTGCTTGTAATATGCAACATTTTATTAATCGATGAACAATTTTATCTCTTTATAGAATGGGACGAGCCAAAAGAAAAAGCATTAGCCACCGAATTGCAAGGTAAGGTCATTTTGTTCAATTATTACTCAGGTTACTTTAATAACAGGAGCATCAGATTTTTGAATCTGACAAACGCAAAGAACGTTTGATTTGAAATTAAACTATTACTAAAGCCATTTTCGAGTTAGGAGCATCTCCATTTTTTAAACATTTTTGTTCTCTTTTCACGTTTCATCGTTTTTCTGATTTGATTTTTGGTTCATTTTCTATCCATGTGTTATGATTTCGAAGCCAGAATGCTGTTTGTGCAAATAACGCATAGAGAAACTTCAACGGGTTATAACATGCACATACGCGAAGTATTTTTGCGCATTTTATTATAATAATTAACGATTAACAAGTCATGCGTTTATAAAATGACTAATCGATCGTCTTCAAGCTTATTAGCGACGCTTTCAAAATAAGGCAATGCCTGAATATGGCATTCGGCATATAAAAAAGTGAATCAATTATAATTTTTTAACGTTTCACTGACCAAATCGCACTTTTCACCATTGTAGCTGTACATTTGCATGTTCTCTTTGCATGCTGCATGCAAAAGGTGTCATTAACATCGTCTCCAAAGAAAGTTACATAAAAACTACAAAATATAATTAATACTCATACTAAAAAAAATATTACAATAATTTAAGTGTTTTACCATAAACTAAAAGGACGCTTACATTTTAATTTGTTTTCAAATCAAGCAAATGCTTTGCTTCACTAATTTCTACTTTGTAAGTGTTGGTTTCACATCTTAGACATATCAAAATTGATTTATTTTCTCTTATCATTCATTATCATACAATCAAAAGAAATTTGATTACTTACGGAAAACGTTTTTTACGACAAAAGTGTTTTATTCTTTGACAACTGAATATTCTTACTTCAGAGTGTGCGATTGGTTTTGAGGTTTCGCCTACTAAATGAATTAATACCATATATAATATTGTATTTATTCTTCGATAGATGCTGCCCAGCCGGTTGAAGAAATAACCTACGAAAGTGTCCTATTGACGAATCTGTATCGCAATACTCCTGTAATCATAAATCCTTATTCCGCTTATGAAACTCAAAGTGCTTCCTATACAGAAATAGACGATATGTTGAATCGAATGTTATCAGAAGTAGAAGATATGGATTCTAATTTAGAATCATCGACAAAATGTGTCAATACTTTAGAACTACAGCCGTCAAACGACGCGTTGATTGAGGTTCCAATTAAGAAGTCAATAAAAATTCCAAAAAAATACAAAACAAATCATGAAATTCTCATTGAAGAACCGTGCAATTATGAATTAATTTGTTTTAATAATTCTATTACCACTCCAGAGGATCCGCATGAATATGATTTGATATCGTTTGAAGATCCGGTTCCAGTTGATAACTTAACAGCTATTGAAGAATCAATTTCGCATTTATTATCCGATATGGAAAATGAAGAAGCATCACTTTTATTAGGTAATGATTCATATGACGCAGTTGAAACTCAATCTGCACATCCAGTTTATGCATTAGATAAGGTTGTTCATAGGGCATCAAGTGAAAGTTTAAGTGAAGTCACTGATGTTAGTTCAGACAGTTGGGATGACGAGGATGATCATTTGAATCCGTATGAACCAATACAAGCAATTAGTTATAAAACATATAATTCCGATGTTTGGTGGGAAGGAACTTATCGAAATTTAAGTATTGTCCCTGAAGAAGACGAGGAATGTAGTAGTTTATTAGGTCATGCAGATACTGATATTAATTATGAGAATTTGAAACAAAGGAAACCTAGTGTATCAAGTGATGCGAGCGGCAGTAGTGATTCTTCATCACATGAGAAAATTGTGAAAGCCGAGGTGAAGTTATTAGTTAAAACAATGGATTATGGAAAAGAAGAAATTGAAGTACATGCAGTACGCGAGTTTCTAGACAAAGGAAATACAAAGAAATCGGATACAATATTTATTGATTATAACAAAGATAAATCTTCAAAACCAGTTTATACTCTACAACGACTTTTCGTTAGGTCTCCAAATAGTGATAAGACAGAATTAGTCGCTGCGCCTGAATCAACATTTCCTTTAGTTTGCGACTCCAGTCAACAATCAACTTCTTATTATTCTGATGACAGTGCAGAATATTATAAACCCGCACCTAAACCTGTACCATTTTATCCAGCACCCGCACCTCAGTCTACAAATCCATTCTATGAGGTTGTCAAATTTCCTAGCAAATACAAACCACCAAAAGCGTATTGCGATTGGGTTCCTCAAATGAACAGTTCGGACAGAGGTAAAGTTATTAAGCGTGCAGTGTTCAACTGATACGCATGTGCTGTGTTGAAGTGAAACTTACAAATTTTCCAGTTTGGTTATTTTTCTTAATCATAATCAAGTCGCTACACACTGCAGTAAGGATACAAAAAGTTGTAAGGAATAAATAAACCATTTAACAATTGTAATTGGTAATTGGCCAGACGAGTGTTGAATAGTATGGTGAATTTGTAGTAGTTAGAAGACTTGCTTGTTCGAATCGCATGTTCTTGCAGGAAAACAAACGACCACATCGACAACACAAAACTTCGAAGATAGACGAACGCTAGACGATAAAGAATTAGCCTCTAAACAATTAGTCGATAAAACTAACGCTTTTAACGAAGTAGATACGCAGCTAGACGCGTCTGCCGCGGAAATTAAAGAAAACGGTGAGGAATTAAAACAAAAGAAACCAGGATTTTTCGGAGCACTTAAAACGATGGTTACACGATCGTTTGACTATTCCGACTCGGAATCTGAAAAATCGCAGTCAAAGAAGGAGAAGAAAGATAAGAAAAAGAAGAAGAAGCGCGGAAAAGATAAAGACGATAAACCTGAAAGCCCTGTAAAAGTTCAGCCGCTTACAATTGAAGAAGAACGACTTAAAACTATTCCCTACGCAGAAGCATCGCCAGTTTTAGAGCAAAAGGCATTTATAGTTGCCGAAAATATAGTCACTGAAGTTAAAAAAGTACCCGCAGAAGTTGTAGCTAAAGAAGAAAAACTTGTAGAAAAGAAAACTATTGTACCAGTTGTAGAATTAATTGAAGAACTTGAAACTAAAATTTATGATACCCCAGAGTTTCATATTGAAGTGAAGCCGTTGACTCCAACTAAAGAAAAAGTCATCTACGATGTTGACATTCATTCGACTATTGACAGTATTGGAAAAGAATTGCTTAAAGACGATACTATTACTGACAAACCACCACGTATCTCAGAAACAGATGTGTATGATGATCAAGCACCACAACTATCGATTCCACCTGATCATGTTAGTCACCTCATTGAAGAACCTGACAACGACGCATTAAAAATGATCACGTTTAATTTGATACAAAACGAAATGAGTTTCCAAGGATGGGCGGACGATAAACATAACATTATTAACATTACAAAATCCCAACAACCCGCACCCGCCAGCCAAAAAATGAAGCGAAAGCATGGAAAACTCTTTGGGTTTTTAAGCAAAAAATCTTCCAAAGAAGTTGAAGATTCAGATGACGATACGCGAACCGACCAGTCTAGGTCCGAAATAATTGAGAAACAAGATAAAGAATCATCGAAGGAAATCGTGGATGATTCTAGTACCAGTGAGCAGAACAAGAAAGGCGGCTTCTTTACTATATTCGGTAAAAAGAATAAGAAAGAAGACGACGCTATTCCAGAGTCATCTGAAGTCGACGAAGACAAGACGAAAACTGATAGTAGACCACCTAAAATTTTGATTAGCGAACCCACTCGATTAGATATTAATAATTCTGATTCATTCATTAAACAAGAAGTTACGCATTATGAAGATGTGAGACCGGTAATTCCAGCAGATAAAACTCAAGTTACTGCTGTTCCGGAAGAAGAAAGTAAAACCGATAGAAAGTCAGGTATTTTCAGTGGTATTTTTGGTAAGAAAAAAGACGACATTGACACTGAAAAAGATGAAAAAGCTAAAACTCCTACTCCCGATGAAGTTGTTGAAAAAATAACCGAAAAAGTTGATAAAACAGTTGAAGTTACAAAGAAAGAACTCCATGATGTTAAAGAAACCATCACTGAAACTACTCTTGTTGAGAAAATTGATAAACCTATCGACGCAAGTGAGAAAAGAAAAGGTGGTGTTTATACTGACATATTCATCAAAAATGAAATTCAAAGCGAATCTCAAAATATAACCCAACATGAGAAAGTTACTGTTACAACCGAAACGGTAACAAAGACAATTGAAGAAAATGGGAAACATGAATTTGCGGAAGAAGTCGAGAAAGATGATCAAGGTGAAAAGAAAAAGTCTGGTATATTCAGTGGTATATTTTCCAAAAAGGATAAACGTGACAGCGATGAACCTAAAGTTAAATCGCCTATATTTGGCAAGAAAGATACTAAACCAGAAGCACCAAAAGAAGATAAGAAAGATCAAGAAGACGGTAAGGAGACCGTCAAAGAAGTTATACAAACCACTGAAGTGGTTATGCGCAGATCAAAACAAAAAGACGCGCAAGCTGATGAAAAACCTGATCAAAAAGAAGAAGAGAAAGAGAAACGAAGATCTGGAATTTTCAGTGGAATATTTGGAAAGAAAGATAAAGGTAAAGACAGTGAAGATGAGAAAACAGATGATGAGGATGTGTCCACCAAAACAAAGAAAAGCACTCCTATCTTTGGAAAGAAAGAAAAAACCCCTCCTGCCAAAATTATTTTGTCAAATGAACTTGTTACAACAATGAAAGACACTGAATCATTCCTACAGGAAGAAGTGTCCCGATATGAAGATGTAAAGCCATTGGTTAAACCAATTGCAGAATCCGAGGTCGCAGATGCAAAACCTGCCGCACAACAAGAAGAAGAAAAGGAGAAACGAAAATCTGGTATATTCAGTGGTATATTTGGCAAAAAGGAAAAACCTAAAGAAGGCGAAGAAGAAAAACCTGATGAACAGGACTCTCCAGCTAAACCTAAAATGACTTTACGAGACAAACATCTTCCAATGAATGCAGATGTACCTGACGAAGTCTTGGAGCGTTTGAAAAATGCCAATTTAATTTCCAAGAAAGAAGTACCAGTATTTGAAGATTCAAACGGCGGTGTACGCCATGAAGATGAAGTTGATGATTCAGCTGTTAAAGCAGAGACCGAAACTTTGCCTGAAATAATTGCAGATGTTTCTGAGAAAGACAAGCGCAAAGCCGGAATATTTAGTGGAATATTCGGTAAAAAGGACAAAGCAACTGAGAATGAAGAAGAAAAAGATGTTAAATCACCAACTAAACAAAAGAAGATGACTCCAATATTTGGCAAGAAAGATAAATCTAAGCCTACTGAGATTAAATTGTCTGAAGAAGTAGTCACAACCATGATAACTACTGAATCATTCCTTCAGGAAGAGGTAGCTAGATTTGAGGATGTAATACCACTACCCAAGAAGGAACGGGAACCAGAAGTTGTTGACGAAAAATCTGTAAAATCACCTGAAACTGAAGCCAAACGAAAATCTGGTTTATTCAGTGGAATCTTTAGTAAACGTGACAAGAGCAGAGATAAAGAAGATGTTAAGTCAGATGAAGACGATGTTGCTGTTGATAAGCAGAAAGACACTCCTGTTGAAATCGTGAGCGATGAGGTTGAGAAAATTGTGCAGGAAGTTAAATCAACTGTAGAGCAAATTGAGGTACATGTTGATGAAAAACCATTTGATGTCCAGCCTGAAACACAGCCAGATGACAAGGAGAAACGTAGAAGTGGCATTTTCAGTGGCATATTTGGTAAAAAAGATAAAGGTAAAGAAAGTGAAGATGAGAAAACAGACGATGAAGAAACAGTCTCTAAGACAAAGAAACATACTCCAATATTTGGTAAAAAAGATAAGAAAACTACTACAACTGCAGTAATCTCAGATGATGTTGTGAATTCAATGAAAACTACTGAAGCATTCCTTCAAGAAGAAGTTGCCCGATTTGAAGACGTAAAGCCCGTAGTTACAGCAACTACTGAGTTGGAAGTTGTTGATAAATCTAAAGAAGAAGCTAAAGAAGTCCAACCAGATGAAGAGAAAGAAAAACGCAAGTCTGGAATCTTTAGTGGTATTTTTGGTAAAAAAGATAAAGGCAAAGAGAGTGAAGATGAAAAAACAGATGACGAAGAAGCAGTATCCAAACAAAAGAAGCAAACGCCCATCTTTGGCAAAAAGGAGAAGAAGACCCCGGAAAAAACACAACTTTCAGAAGAAGCCAAGCAGGTTATTAAAGATTCCGACGCATTCTTGCAAGAAGAAGTATCACGATACGATGATGTAAAGCCAGTTATTACAGAGAAAATTGAAATAGTTGAGGAAGTTGAAGAGAAACCAAAAGAAAAATCCGATGAAGATAAAGAAAAGCGAAAGTCAGGAATATTTAGTGGTTTGTTTGGAAAGAAAGATAAAGGTAAGGAGAGTGAAGATGAAAAGACTGACGATGAAGAAATTACTACCAAAACAAAGAAACAGACGTCTATTTTCACTAAAAAGGAAAAGAAACCTCCTACTAAAGTTGAGCTGCCTGAAGATGTGGTTAAAGATATGAAGGAAACTGATAATTTCCTTCAAGAGGAAGTTGCCAGATATGAAGATGTGAAACTTATAAAATCTGAAGAACCAGAAATTGAAAAAGAAGAAATTAAAATTGAAGTTAAACTTGAAACAGATGCAGATAATGAGAAAGATAAACGAAAGTCCGGTCTTTTCAGTGGGATATTTGGCAAGAAAGATAAAAGCAGCAAAGAAAGTGAAGACGAAAAAACAGATGACGAGGAGACAATTACGAAAACTAAGAAACGTACTCCTATATTTGGTAAAAAGGAAAAGAAAACACCCACAAAAATAGAGTTGTCTGAAAATGTAGTTAAAGACATGAAGACAACTGATTCATTCTTGCAAGAAGAAGTAAAGAATTATGAAGATGTTAAACCATTACCGGTCAAACAACTCGAAAGTGAAACTATTGAAGTCAAAGTTGAAACTACCGAAAGCGTAAAAACCGTAGTCGCTGAAGCTACAGAAAAGGTAGATTTAATGAAAACCAAACAAGATGTCCAATCTGACGAAGAGAAAGAAAAGCGAAAGTCAGGAATCTTTAGTGGTCTCTTTGGCAAAAAAGATAAAGGCAAAGAAAGTGAAGATGAAAAAACAGACGATGAAGAGGTCACTTCTAAGGCCAAGAAACATACTCCTATATTTGGCAAGAAAGATAAGAAAACTCCAACTGCCGTTGTTATATCAGAAGATGTTCTTACATCTATGAAAACAACGGAATCTTTTCTCAAAGAAGAAGTAGAGAGATTTGAAGATGTAAAGCCTGTGATTGCGGAAATTACAGAACCTGCGATTGAAATAAAAACTAAACAAGACGATAAACCTGATGATGATAAAGAAAAACGAAAATCCGGAATATTCAGTGGTATTTTTGGCAAAAAGGACAAAGGGAAAGAAAGTGAAGATGAAAAAACAGACGACGAGGAGACCATTTCCAAGTCGAAGAAACGCACTCCTATATTTGGCAAAAAAGATAAGAAAACTCCAGCAGCCGTTGTCATATCAGAAGATGTTCTCACATCAATGAAAATGACAGAAACTTTCCTTCAAGAAGAAGTTGACAGATTTGAAGACGTAAAGCCTGTGATTGCGGAAATCACAGAAACTGCACCTGAAACTAAAACCAAACTAGACGATAAACCTGAAGATGACAAAGAAAAACGAAAGTCAGGCATTTTCAGTGGTATTTTTGGCAAAAAGGATAAAGGTAAAGAAAGTGAAGATGAAAAAACAGATGATGAAGAAGCAGTATCCAAACAAAAGAAACAAACACCCATCTTTGGTAAAAAAGAAAAGAAAACGCCAACTAAAGTTGACTTATCCGAAGATACGATAATCAAAATGAAAGCTACTGATTCATTCCTTGTGAAAGAAGTTGATGTTTACGAAGATGTGAGACCAGTAATTACTGAAAAGATTGAAATCACTGAAAGTGTTACATTGAAATCTCCAACCTATGTTTCCGGAGATAAAGATAAGACCAAATCAGGAATATTTAGTGGCATATTTGTTAAAAAAGACAAAGGTAACAAGGAAAGCGAAGATGAAAAAACAGATGATGAAAGTACATCCAAATCAAAGAAATCAAAACTCTTTGGGAAAAAAGAAGACAAAGCACCCACAAAAGTTGTGTTATCAGAGGAAATTAAAAGAACTCTTAAGGAGACAGATTCTTTCTTGCAAGACGAAGTGGCTAATTACGAAGATGTTAAGCCAGTTGTGCAACCCACTGAAACTGTTGATGTGAGGGTAACATCTCCAACACCAATTGAAGATGATAAAGAAATTAAGAGAAAGTCTGGATTGTTTGGAGGAATATTTGGCAAAAGGAAAAAGTAAAGATCAGGAAGAAGAAAAATCTGATAGCGAAGATACAGTTGGCAAAGTAAAAAAGAGCACACCATTATTCTCCAAGAAAGAGAAGAAGCCTCCTGTTGACGTTGAATTATCTAAAGAAGTTATTGAGTCAATGGAAACTACAAAATTATTCTTGACAGAAGAAGTAAACCGATTTGATGATGTGAAACCTATTATAAAGCCAGCTGAAGACAACGTTGATACTCTCCAAGCATTGGCAGAAGAAGAAAAAGAAAAACGCAAATCCGGTATATTCAGTGGAATATTCAAAAAAGAAGATGGAAAAGAAAGTGAGGACGAAAAAACAGATAATGAAGATGAACAAACCAAAGCTAAAAGAAAGCCAATTTTCGGTAAGAAAGCAAAGGCTTCACCAACAAAGGAAGTTAAACCAGTTGATCATGAGAAAACTGAAGCAATTACATCGCCAGCAGAAGAAACAAAAGATAAAAAAGCTAAATCAGGTATATTTAGTGGAATGTTTACCAAGAAAGACAAAGCTACTGAAGATTCAAAATTGATTGAATACGATGAAGAAGTAAAGACCACTTTAAAGAATACTTCCGATTTCATAAATGTAGAAATCGAAAAGTATCATGATGTCAAAGCCACGACCGAACCGACAAAAGGTGAAAAAGATGAACCCAAAGAAGAGTCCACAGAGAAAGCCCAGAAGTCAAAAACAGGTATTTTTAGTGGCTTGTTTAGTCCTAAAGACAAAAAAGAAGATGATCTTGAAAAGGTGTCTAAAAAGGAGATTCAGCCTACTGAAACAGATAAACCAGTTGACGATACTAAACAGACAGAAGATGTCGAAAAAGGCGTTCTTGAGGAAAAATCAGATAAAAAGAAGCCTGGAATATTCCAAGGTTTGTTTACGAAAAAAGAAAAAGAAGATGAACCCAGGGAACCGATATCCGAAGATGTTTTAAAAGCTATGAAGAACACTCATGAATTTTTAGCCAAAGAAGTTGAGGTGCATGAGGATGTCCGTCTATTAGTACCTGTTACATTACCCGATGCCGAAATACCTGAAACTGATTCCAAAAAGGAAAAAGCAAAATCCGGTATATTCTCAGGTATATTTGGACAAAAAGACAAAAAGGAGTCAACTGATGTCGAAAAAGTCAAAGCACAGACACCAATATTTGGCAAAAAGGGATCGGAGGAGACCGAAGCAAAGAAAGACGTTGCTCCATTGATTCCAATGCCAGAAGGAGACAAAACTACTAAAGTGGTTGAAACAACTGACTTAGATGAAACTACCACTGAAGTCAAACAAAAATCTGGCATTTTGAGCAAAATTAAATCTCCAATCTTTGGAAAATCTAAGAAATCTGAACCAATTCAACTCACAGAGAAAACAATTCAAGAAATTAAAGAAACCGACAATTTTATAAAAAGAGAAGTTGAGGTGTTTGAAGACGTCCGTTTAGTAAAAATTGAGAAAGAGAAGAGTGATGTAGTTACAGAACAAGATCAGGAAGAGGATAAGGTACCCAAAAAGAAAACCGGATTATTATCTGGCATATTTAGCAAGAAAGACAAAAAATCAATTGATGAACCAACAGAACCTGTTGATGAAGATTTAAAGAAGAAAGCAGAAACTTCTTTATTAGAAAAGAAAGCAGATGCGCTGCCAGTAGTAGAAACAACCGTGATTGACATCAAAACTACCGACGACTTCTTGAAGAAAGAAGTTGAACTTCACGAAGATGTGTGCATATCAACCACACTAATTGCTAAGCCACTTAAAGAAGAACAAATTGAAGAAAAACGAAAGTCTGGACTATTTTCTGGACTTCTTGGTAAAAAAGATAAAAAGGAATCAACTGAGGAGACAATACCATCTGTTGAAACCAGCAAAGAAGTGAAACCTGCAATTGCATTATCTGAGGAGGCAGCTTTAGGAATAAACGCAACAAATGATTTCTTACAAAAGGAAGTTGAAGTCCACGAAGATGTGCGCCCAGCGATTGTGACGGCTGTCGTTACATCAACAACAGTTCTAAGTGATGATGAAGATAAGACAGAAAAACGTAAAAGTGGAATATTTTCTGGATTATTTGGTAAAAAAGAAAAGAAAGAAATATCTATTGAAACAGATCTACCAAAAGAGAAAGTTGAAATAATGGAATCGGTAGAAATTGAGACTGTTTCTGTACCTAATGCAGAGGTACCTGAGGGAGTTGTAATTCATACTAATGAAGAAAGAACCGAGAAAACAAAATCCGGAATATTTGATTCTATCTTTGGAAAGAAAGAAAAACTTCCAGAGAATGAAGAAGAAAAAATAAAAGAACCGAAGAAAATTCGTACTCCGATATTTGGTGTTAAGGACAAAAAGGATAAAGCAAGTAAAGATATTAGTGAGGAAGTATTGAAATCAATGAATGATACCGACAAATTTTTACAAGACGAAATAACCAAATATGAAGATGTTAAATTAGTTGTGGAAATGCAGCCTCCAACTGAAGAGAAAGAAGATAAACCAAAAGATATGGATGTGACTAGTCCAAGTAATTCTAAAAAAGTAAAGAAAGGAAAACGTGATTCATCCGAGAGTGGTGACGAGAGTGATGCGTCTTCAAAGAAATCTAAGTTTGGATTATTTAGTCGTAAACCAAAGACCACAAAATCAGATCCAATTAAAGAAGCGCCATCAAAAGAAGACAAAATTGCTTTGTCTGATGAATGTATTGAAAATATGAATCAAACAGATAGTTTCCTGAAAACAGAAGTCTTGAACCACGAAGATGTTATGTTGAAATCACTTCATGAGAGTAAGATTGACTCTGAAGACAAAGAAACTACTGAAATCAAAGAAACAAAGCACAAAGTCAAGAAACACAAAAAGAAACCGAAGCGAGACTCTTCCGAAAGTGGCGAAGAAAGTGATACCGCTGCTCGCACAAAGAAGTTCAGAATTTTCGGTAAATCTAAAAAACGTGCGGAATCTGCTCCAATTACCGAAGCATCTTCTAAAGAAGATAAACTTGGTTTATCTGCTGAGATTATTAAAACTATGAATGAAACTTCAGACTTTTTAACTACTGAAGTTAAAAATTATGAAGATGTTAAGCTATTGAGTGAAGATGCTCCTAAAATTATTCAAGAGCCACCTGTAAAAGTTGACAAGAAGAAGAAGAAGCCAAAGCGTGATTCATCCGAGAGTGGAGAAGAAAGTGATACCGGCCATAAAAGTAGAAGATTTAATATATTTGGTAAGAAGAAAGCAAAAACTACTAGCATGGAAATTCCGATACAAGAAGCAAGTTCCAGAGAAGATAATTTAGACAAAATTGAGATTCCTGAAGATAATGCAGATATAATCGAGGAAATAATAACAAAAACCACTGTAGTTGTCAAAGATGATTCTTTTGGTAATAAACTGGATGATACCAAAGAATTTTTGGCAACAGAAATTGAGAATTTCGAAGACGTAAAACCAATTGTAATTGCAGAAGTTGTACAAGATACTGAAGAGACTAAGAAAAAACGAGGATTTGGTCTGTTTGGCAGAAAAGGCAAGGGTGTAAAGTCCGACTCTGAAGATGAATCTACTGAAGTGAAGGAATCTAAAGGTATATTTAAAATATTTTCGAAAAAATCAAAGAAAGATGAATCCGATGACGAAAAGGAAAAACATGTGACTATAAGTAAAGTTGTTGAAGAAATTCCAGACGCAACTGTAGCAGACGAAGTACTTGTTGTCACTGCATCAGTATTAGAGAGTTCTTCCTTGGCAACAAAAACTGATAGTGATGCAGAGAAATTAACAGAAACTAAAACAACTAGCGCAGAAAAAGAGGATGGCGAAAAAGAACCAGCCACTATGAAAGTAATTGAAGAAATGACATTGACACGAACAACAACAGACTTAAATGTGCCTGATGTGAAAGCACGTGATGGTTCAACTGAAGACAAGAAAATTAAAGTAGTGACAGAAGAAGTAGCACTCCATAAAGAAGTTATCAAGGATAGTGTTGATACTTATGAATTAACACTTGATCAAATTAAAAATGGTGCTGATGAAGATCTTAAACGCTTAATCGCACAACAAGATTCACAAAATATCGTAACCAGTGAATTTGATGCTGATGTTCAAAGGGTAGTTGATGATCTTGGTACTACGATTGTAACTACAACAACAAGAGATAGAGTTGAAGAATTAAACGGTGGTTTGTTGGAGGGTACATTTACAACGGTCGAGACGCAATGTGTGGTGACAACCAAACAAGTCACAGAAGTTACTGAGACATTAGTCAGTGACAAAAATAAAAATGTGACTGCTGAAATTAAAGATGGCATTGAAGTTGGGCCAAGTGAAATAGTCGAGATTGAGCCAACTCCCATTGAGTTGGTTGATAAAATGAATGATGCTATAAAAGATGTTGAGGCGATTGCTGCTGCTGCAAGAGCTGCAACAGCTGCAAAAGCAAGTCAATTGAAGCTTGACTTAACTAATAAGAAAACGCCAGCGATACCAAAGAAAACAAGTAAATCAGTAATTGATACAACGAAGAAAACAACTGGTGCGCCTAAAGTAGCTGCTAAAAGTAGTTCTTCTAGTAGTTCTAGTAGTACTGCTGCAGTAACTAAATCAAAACTGCCAAAAGATAGAGAAGTTAAACCAGCTCCAGTAACGAAAGGTACGAAAGCAAAGGAGACTAAAAAAGAAGATACTAAAAAAGTTATGGAGAGCACTAAAGGTGCGGTGAAAGGTGCTTTAAAAGCAACTAAAGCAGCACTTACACCTAAAACAAAAGATAAAGCTGCTACTGCTTCAACCGAAACTAAAAAGGAAACTTCACCTACAAAGCCAACGAAAACAGGTGTAGCAACCAAAGGTACTAAAGTATTCGGTGTCAAGGGTACTGGTAAAGGTGCTCTTCAAAAAACTCCTTCGGTGACTAAAATTGCTCAGGATATTAAAACTGGCATAAAAGATACAAAGGATAAAGCTACAAGTAAAGCAAAGGAGACAGCTTTAAAGGTAGAGGAAGATGTAAAAACTGAAGTTGAAATTGTGGAATCTAAAGTTACAACTGCTCGCGATGATGTTGAAGATAAAGTTAAAGAAAGCATTTCTGATGTAAAAGTTGCTGTTCACGATATTAAAGTTGAAATAGAAAATAAAGTTGATGAAATTAAAGCGGAAATACCCAAAGTCCAATCAGAAGTTGACTTAAAGATCAAAGAAATTGATGAGGATAAAACTAAATTGGCTGACGATTTGGATAAAACTGCTGAGCAACTGCAAGGTACTAAAGATGTTATCTCCGAAAGTATAAAAGACGCAAGTGCTGAAATGTCTGATGCTGTAGAAATTCAAACAAAACAGTTAACTGATGATGTAAAGGATGCAACTGATGTTATTGATGCGAAATTAGATGAAATTAAAGACAAATCTGAGCAAATAATCCCAGCTTTAGTTGAAACAAGTTCAAGTATTGAGAAAACTGCGAAGGATACGAAGAAAGGCTTTCTTGGCAAACTCAGTGAGAAGATCTCTGGAAAATCTTCACAAGAAGAAGTTGAAATTAAAACAACTGACGTTAAACAAACTAAAGACAAACCCAAGAAAGGAATTTTGGGAAAAATTAGTGATAAATTCTCTTCAAGTAAAGATAAAGTTGAAGAGAGTATTACTGATGTTGTGCAAGAAGTTAAAGAAGAAGCAAGCGATGTGAAGAAAATTGTAACTACAGAAATTGAGGAAGACGTTGATAAAGCAAAACACCTTGGAACTGAAAAAACTGTAGATTTGGCTGAAAAAACCGTAGATGCGGCTGATAAAATGATAACTGCAATATCTGACGATGTTCAAACAAAACAGAAAGATTTAACATCTGATTTTATTGCGCAAGAAAAGGAGGCAAACAAACATCAACAATCAGTAATGGATCATGCAAAGGATGTTTCTGATGGGGTTCTACAAAAAGTTGACACAGAAAAAGCTAAAATTGAAGAACTATCCGCAGAGGTCCAGGCTAAAGGTGACAAGACTATTTCCGAAGTGACAACAACTGTAAAAGAAGAGTTAGTTCATGATGTTCAAGCAGTTGGTGAAGCTTTGGAAGATATTAAATCATCAGCAAAAGAAGAAAAGAAAGGATTCTTAGGAAAACTTAGCGACAAGATAAGTAGCATTGGTAGCAAAGAAGAAAAAGTTGAGAAAAAATCAAAGGGAGGTATATTTGGAAAACTTGGAAGCAAAGATAAAGAAAGGGAGAAATCTGAACCTAAAGAGTCCGATGATATAACAACAAAGATCGCAGCAGTAAAAGATTCATTCACTAACGGTGTAGGATCAGTATCGACCAGTGTTAAACAAACCGTAGAACAGAAAGCTGCCGATTTATCAACTATTGACGATAAGAAGCAAGAATTAAAAGAATCAACTGACGAAGCCGTGATTGTAATTGATGAGAAGGTTTCTAAAGCAAAGGATAAAACACTTGACGAGTTACAAAAATTGGAGGATTCAGTGTCTTCTAAGGTACAAGAAACACAAAAAGATGCAGAAGAAACAGTTATTGGTTTGCAAGAATCTCTAGAAGCTGTTAAAACAGAAGTTAAAGAACAGAAAGATGCAACTTTGGATGCTGTGAAAGACTTAAAAGATGATGCAGAGAAAAGTCTTAGCAGTACAAAGGCAGAGGTAAAAGAAACAATAATTGCTACTGAACAGAAAGTCTCCGATAAAGTTGATGAAATCAAAAAAGACATTGAAAAATCGATAGAAAAGGATACACAAAAGATAATTGATGCAAAAGGTTCTGTAAAAGAAGATGTATCCAAAGTATCATCTGATATTCAAAAGAAAACAACCGAGCAGCTTGCGAGTATTAAAGATGGTGTTGAAGAAACATTAGATAAAACTAAAGTTGCTGCAGAAACCGCAAGCAAAGAAATCAAAGAAGAAAGCAAAGGATTCTTTGACAAACTCAGTAGTAAGTTGAGTAAAAAATCAAGTGATGACGAAAGTTCTAAGGATAAAGATGAACCTAAAAAGAAGAAAGGAATCTTTGGTAAATTGACAAAAGCTGACACTAAAGATAAAGATGATAAAGAAAAAGGTAAAAATGTGTCATTTAGCGGTGTCACTGAAAGTATTTCAGACAAAATCCAAGATGTTATCGAGAAAACTGATGAAGGAAAGGAACAACTGAAGTCAGACATCAGTGACGCAAAATCAACCGTTCAGAAGAAAAGTGAAGAGGTAGCTGAAGATTTAAAAGATTCAGTCAAAGAAATAGAGACTGGTCTTAGTGATGCAGTAAAAGAAGCAGAGTCCAAGAAAGTGCAAGTAATTGACACAGGAAAAGAAATTTCCAAAGATATTAAAGATTCGGCAGAGACAACTGTAGCTGTCGCTGCTGAAAAGTTGTCAGAAATTAAAGACACTGTCACGACAACTGTTCAAGAGAAAGACGAAAAATTAAAACAAGCCATTCAAAATGAAAAAGATGCATTGGCAAAGAGTGTCACGGCGACCACATCTGATATTAAACAGAAAGCTTCAGATGCGGCAGCTAAATTGGATGATAGTATGGATAAAACAAAAGCAGACGTTTCTGAATCTGTTGATAAGGTAAAAGAAGCTGCAGATAAATTGATCACCGACCTAAAAGATGAACCAAAAGGCTTCTTTGACAAGTTGAGTAGTAAATTAAGCAGGAAACCGTCCGATGGTGATAGTGACAAAGAACCCAAAAAGAAGAAAGGCATTTTTGGAAAACTTACCAAGAAAGATAGTAAGGATAAAGAAGAACTTGATTACACTCCAAAAACTCGACCTACTTCAAACATTGGTGTTCCGCAGCTAGTATCAGAAAATATTCAAGAAGTGGTGAAACAAGCAGAAGATACCAAAGAAAAACTAAAAGAACAAGCTGAAAAGCTAACAGATGGTGCTAAAACTACAATTGACACAACTGTTGAAAAAGTTGAAAATGTGGAAGAATCATTGAGTGGAAAAGTAAAAGAGGAAATTATAAAAACGGAATCTCAAGTGGAGGATGTTACAAAGACTGTTGACAGTAAAATCGAAGAAATTAAACGTGAAACTGACAAGCTTACAGAAGTTGCTAGTGAAATAAAAACTGATACTGAAACAAAAATATCTGAAACGAAAGAAAGTCTTCAAAGTGAAATGGATTCAATTAAAAAAGAGACAAAAGAGCAAATAACAATTGTTGAAGATACAGCTGATAAAATTGTTTCAGAAAATGTAGAAAAAGCTAAAGCATCTGCTATAGAAATAACAACAGATGTCAAAGAAGAAACCAAAGGTATCAAAGAAGAAGCTAAAGGTTTCTTTGATAAACTCGGCAGTAAACTAGGTATAAAATCCGATGTTGATTCAACCACAGATAGCGAAAAAGAACCAAAAAAGAAAAAGGGAATTTTTGGAAAATCATCCAAAAGTAAAGATCAAGATGACATCAAAGACACTACCGAAAGTTCATTATTAGGAAAAGTACCTCAAGTTATCTCAGAGAAGGTTCAAGAAGTTGTCGAACATACACAAGAAACAAAAACGAAATTAGAAGAGAAAAGTGAAACTGTCATTGATGCTGTAAAAACAGAAATTGAAAAAACTGAAAAAGGCGCGGAAAGCATAAAGAAAACTATTGAACACACAGAAGAAAAATTAAGTGACACTATTAAAGAGAAGGCATTATTAACTGAAGCTACAATTTCTGAAGTTGTAAAACAAGCAGATGCAACTGTTCAGAAACTTACCAGCGAAGTACAAGACATTAAAGAAACAAGCAAATCCAAACTTGATTCAAGTGTGTCAGATATTAAAGAAACTGTGCAGAAAAAATTAGACGATGGCAAGGAAACAACAGAATTGATAAAACAAGAACTTGTTAATATCAAAGATTCGGCAGAACATACAACCTCGGAGATTAAGGAAGAAACCAGTAAACAAATAACAGTAATCGAAGATGTTGCTACTAAAACTAAAGATGATATTATTCAAACTACTGACAAAGTCAAAGAATCAGCAGAAACGTCGATAACCAATGTGAAAGAAGAAGCTAAAGGATTTTTCGATAAGTTCAGCAGCAAATTGAGCAAAAAATCTGCTGAAAGTGAGTCGGCGAAAGAAACTGAGAAAGAACCAAAAAAGAAAAAGGGCATTTTTGGTAAACTTGGAAGGAAAGACAGTAAAGAAAAGGAAGAAACCAAAGAATCTGTAAAAATTACAAGCGGAATAGTAGGTGACTTACCAGAAGTGATTACACAAAAAGTTACAGAAATAGTTGATAAAGCGGAAGAAACAAAAGAGCAAGTTAAAGACAAAAGTACTTCTGTTTTAACTGAAGCTAAACAAAGCATTACTGAATCAATCGACGATAAAATTACAAAAAACCGAGACAGCTATTGATAGCATTAAAACTGAAAGTCAAAAAAATAAGTGAAGAAGTAATTGAATCTTCTAAATTAGAAGTAGAAAAGAAGGCTTCAGAAATTAATGGCACTGTCACATCTACTATTGAAAATATTGAAGATAAGATAAGTTCGGCCAAACAAGAAGTAGTTGATACAAAAGTTTCTATTGAAAAATCGTTAGACGATACCGCTGCAGATATAGAGAAGAAAGTTTCGGAGAAAACATCAGACATTGTTCAATCTATTGAAACAACGGTTTCAGAAACTAAAGAAGAAGCTAAAGGATTCTTTGATAAACTTTCCAATAAATTAACTAAAAAATCTAGTGAAGAGGAGTCAACAAAACCGTCAGACAAAGAACCTAAGAAGAAGAAAGGTATTTTTGGCAAGTTGACAAAAAGAAGCAGCAAAGATAAAGGTGACGAAGAAGAAATTCTAACTGAGACAGTTTCAGCAGGTGTAAGCGCATCTCAGAATATTGTTGATCAAGTTAAATCAGAAGCAACTAACACAATTGAAGCAGCAGAACAACTTAAAGAAGACGCATTACACGCTGTGGATAAATCTACGACATTGATTAAGGACACTACTCATAGTGTTCAATCACAAATTGAAACTAAAGTTAATGATATTAAAATGGCAGAAACTGAGTTTGCTAAGAAGATGAGTGAGTCTATCAGCAATGTTGAAGCCAGTGTATCGGATGCTGCACAACAAATTGACACAATGGCAAAGGACACTGTTAAAAGTACCATGGAGGTCAAAGATGATTTAAAAGAAGAAAGTAAAAATGTAATTGACTCAATTGCAACAACGACATCTGATATAAAGGATACTGTAAAAGAAGACAAGGAAAAATCTAAAGAAGCAACAAACGTCGCTATTCAAAAGGCGATTGATACAAAAGATTCTGTATCACATACTATAACTGAGACAGCGTCAGATATTAAACAGGAAACAGTTCAGCAACTTGCAGATACCAAAGATAGTACCAAAGCTGATATTGCACAAGCAGCTGATAAAATTCAAGAGTCTGTAAGTGGCGCGGTCACAGAGGCGAAAGAGGAAACTAAAGGTTTCTTTGATAAAATCAGTAACAAACTAACTAGAAAGTCAAGCGATGGAGATTCAGCCAAAGATTCCGAAAAGGATTCTAAAAAGAAAAAGGGCATATTTGGTAAACTGGGCAAGAAAGATAGTAAGGGTAAAGATGATGAACTGACGAAAGACACTAGCACCGAACTTAAAGAACAAATTGTATTGGGTGTACAAAAGACAGCTCAAAAGATTGAATCAGATATTGTACAGACCAGTGCATTTTTACAAAGTGAAAGTGCTAGTGCATTAGAAAGTGCGTCAAAATCTATTGATACAACTGTAGATAAAGGAAAAGGTACAGTAGAAGTCACAGAAAAACTCATAACAGAAAAAGTTCAGCAAGTTGAAGAAGGAGCTAAAGTAACTGTCGATGATATTACTAAAACGGTAAAAGATGAAAAGAAAGGTTTCTTCGAAAAAATTAACGATAAATTAAGCGGAAAGTCAGACCAAGAAACTTCAAAAGATGATGAAAAGGCGGATAAAAAGAAGAGAGGGCTTTTAGGTAAATTTACAAAACGTCGCAGTACAGAACAAGAGGAAGAAAAGGAAGAAACAAAAGAAGCAAGCGAGTCGAAAAAAGTCGACGATGATGACAACAAAACCAAAAAAGGTTTTATTGAAAAACTAACCGATCGTTTCAGTGCTAAATCACTCGATGAAGTAGTTGTAGCAGATCAAATTAAGGAAGTGGTGGATGAGACAATACCAGATACGTCTACAGAAAGTACAGAAGCTAAACCAGCAAAACGAACACCATTATTCCGCATTGAATCTGAAGAAGATTCTGCTGAAGTTAATTTACAAAGACGCGCTAGCATAAAATCAAATATCTTAGAAAATCTGACCGAACAAAATCTTGAAGCGTTAGTTACCGATTTAGACTTAAACCGGTCAGAGTTACAAAGTGATTATTTCACTGAGAAATTAGAGAATAAACTTGACGATTTAGAAAAAATAGTTGATGATCTCGAAAGACGAGAATCAATCACCGATAAAGAGGAGAAAATCGACGGGAAACTAAAACGAGTTGAACGAAAATTCGAACGAATGGCATCTGATACCATTGAGAAAGAAATACAAGAGGCTAAAAAATCGAATATTACGACACCGGAATTCGAAGAGAAGCGTGAAAGCGAGTTTCAGAAAGTCGTGTCGCAGCTGAGCACTGAAGAAGTGTCCGAATTCCAAACGGATTACGCCACTTTGTGGGACGAGCAAACATTCTCGCACACGGACGAATGGGGTTCTAAAACACCAGAGAGCCAAGCAGACGTAACAGAACTCCCGCAAGGTATTTACAACTAGCTTTGAGTAGAATGCGTTCATCAATAACAGTACATTGAACACGAAGATTCTCTATTTGAACGCCAAATGACTTTCATTAAACGCATCCATTGCACGTATCGTAACTATTTTCCAATGCCTACATCTTATTCTTTTCTTTTTTGTCAATGACATTTTTGCATTTTATCATTGTAGTTTTATAGATGTTAGAATTGACCATTCAACCAACGTTATCAAACATATCGGGGCACACAAACCCACACACACACACACAAACATTCCACACCATTAGTTCCTGACTGACATAACTTATGACAAGCCGTGTCCTTATTGAAGTCGTTTCGTAGGTGAGATTGTATACATGGCGCCCGTTAAGTTAAACAAAGACAATTTAGTAAATAAAGCGGGCATTGAGGTAGACGTCATACCTCGAATGCCCAGTCCGTATGCCTCACCGAAACTGAAACGCAAAAAAAAGAGCAAACGCGCAAAGTCTGAACTCGGCTTTGACACCGCTGAGCTACGACAGCGAATTGGCGAGGACGGTGGCAGCCTACCCGATTTATACACGGGTACCTCTCGAGGTACCCTCATGGACACGATACTTACAATGAGTCCGCAGCGATTCCTTTGCAAAAGCAAAAAAGGTCAAAGCACTGTCTCGCTTAATTTCTGGCCTAAAGACGAGCCCGATACGAGTGTAATTTCACGCTCACTGGGCAGCTCGGACTCATTTTCGAAAGGACACATCATGGATGCCGTCGTTGACTGGTTGAACCAACAGTCAATATCAGGGTCCATGGATACTATGAATCAAAATTCAAGTTTCTATGATGACAACGAATCCTTACAGTCTTCCCTAATTTCCGAACGCAACAGTTCAAGGGCTGATAACGCCGTACCCGACATTTTTATATCTGAAGACGAAGCGCTGATTATTTACAGTCACGTACCACAAAGTGACAGAATAGAGCGCAATTTAGGTAAATGAATCGTGTACATAAATAGATCTAATAGCAATCTGTCGTTACTCTAGACTAAATTTGACGACGCCAACCCGATATGTTTGTTTGCATGCAATTGTTTCTTCCGTCTCTGTTTTCTATACTCTCTTCAATTGGTAACGAAAACGTTATTCACACGAGTGCACAGGCAAGCTGGCTGTTTATTTATGATTTACGTTTTGGGATTATCTGTTTGATTTGTTTTGAATTGTTTATACATTTTGCGACTTCCATTGTGTAATCATTTACCGAGTATTGGAAGGTAAGTGATTTGTGTTGTGACGGAGATAGCAAATAATTCGAAATGTTGCATTTAGTGACCTGCCAAATTCTCTCTTTCGCTCTCGCTCAATACTCAAACGTATTAATAATATGTACTCGCTAGACCCGCATTGTTAACATTCCCCATTCTTTTTAGAAGCCACCAACGTACCACTAATACCAACATCATCACCTTCATCTGAACTAACATCAGTACCACAAGCTAAACCACGAATAACCACAACTAATCTCCCTGAAAAACAAGAAACTGATCCCGAACCACTAACAAGCAAGGATTCAGACATAACCGATGATAAATGTGAGACTGAGATTGAAAGCTATTCCGATCGTAAGAAATTCTGGGAAACCGTTAGTAGTCAACCAACTGATGTTAGTGCAGTGAAGAAACGCATGAGTTTATTTGAAGAATCTACGACATCGAAAATCACCCCGTTGAAGCGAACGTCCATTCATGAAGTACCAATTCCGAAACCTAGATCTACTGTGCAATCTGCTCAAAGCGTTGATGTTCCGTTTGATGAAACTAAAGAAGACATTCCTGCCGATCTGGTGTCCGAATACAAAGCCTCATTCATGGATCCGTCACAACAATCACCGCCCAAGAAAGAACCATCGACTGATCAGCACATGGTTCCGGCCGATAGTGTAGATTCTGACAATGAAAGTTCCATACATCAAAATGTATCAAGTAGTTACGACAACACCGGCTACATATCCGATAGTGGAGATGTTGAACATTATATCTCCGACTCGGAGATTGAAGACCGAGTTCCACAAATTCGAGAGAGGCAAATGAGCGTTTTCCAACCGCCTTCAGTTGGCCGCCGTAGTATTTATGAACGATCATGTTCATTGCCAACTGAAGATTTGTACGAAGTATCCGCGAAAAGCATTCAGCTACGTAAGCAGTATTATGAAGAACAAATTAAAAAAGATATGGTAGAAGATGAACTTATGACTGAAATTCAGGAAGAGGATCTTGAACCTGAACATAAAAAACTAGATATTCCATTTGGGGAAGAAGAACCGAGTACGGTAAAGAGTGTTCCAGAACACATAGATTTTGGTGCCAATATTAAATCTGTTAAGGTAACTGAAGTTGCTGAAGCGTTAATCCTAGACGATGATTATGACACAAAAGTTGAACAACCAACGGAATTCAAACCATCACCAGTTAAAGACATAATTAATTTTGAAGAAGTTGTGAGACCCGATATGTACGAAATTTACAAACCCAAAGAGTCTGATGTTAACGTAGACGATGGAGATTCACGGCCGAGCGATTCAATGGAAGTTCATGTTGATAAAAGTGAACTGGAAGAATCCGAAAAGATGACTGATGTGGAAGGAACCGACATGGAAAGTAAATCTATAGATTCCGGAGATATTACTGAACTTTCACCGAAAACTTTGTATTACCAAGATGATATCCCAGAAATTACTATTAGCTTATCAGGAAAACAACGTAGGATAAGTGAGGAAAGTGATGACTCTGTAGAAAAACCAGTTCAGGATATTGACATAAAAACTCCGATTAAAGAAAGATCAGAAGTTACTTCACCTATCAATCAACCTGAAGAACATATTCAGGATACTATCTGGGAAGTTTCCGTACAAAGTGAACAACCACAAGTATTTGAAGAGCAAGTTGCGGAACTAAAAACATTGGAAGGACAGACTTTAGCTGAGAAGGATGAAGATTTTAGTAGTGTTCGTGATGAATCTGATTTAGGCTCTGAAATTCACCAAGACCATTCAGAATCTTGTTCTGAATCAAAATCTCATAGTCAAGCAGATATAGAAAAATTGATCTTAGAGAGTTTACATTACCAAAAGATATCTCCGGAAGAAGCTCAAATTATTGCTGGCGAATTAATTGCTGATATTGAATCAGAAATTCAGAAGCGTCACGCGGGTGAAATAGTTGAACCACCCGCACCAGAAGTAGCAAAAAAATCAAATTTCAGACTATTTACGACAATTGGCCGAAGCGAAAGGATTAGATTCCCGTGAAGTTGAATTGGTTCAATCTGTTTTGGCTCGAAAACAACGAGAATTGACAATGTTGGCCCGTGGTGATACACAAACATCTAGTATGGAAATAACCGATGAAGATTTGCGATACAGTGGCGCAGATTACTCGCCCAGCGGAAGCAGAGCAAATATTCTGGAAGAGCAAATTGATCAACTTGAAGCACAACAAATAGACGAACCTAAATTTACCGATGAAGTAGTACGAGAAGTTATTGATGAGACACGCCATGCAACATCAAGTATATCAAAAGACTATGAGTACTATGACATAGATAAAAATGTTTATGTCAAATCAGACTTAGACGTCGCAACTACCGAAAGTGTAAAAGGAGAAAAAGTAACTAAAGAACATAAGGACACTATAATTGAAGAGGATGAAACTCAACTTGAATCCGTTACCGAAGAGACAGAAGATGTAACAACCAAGATTGAAACTATCGCACATCAGACTGAAAAAATTTCAACGGATCAATTCGCAACAGAAATTGATTCCACTGCAAAAATTACAGATGAAATTGCACACAAAGCATCTTTTGTTACTGAAGTAAGCACGTCCATAACTGACGATAGCATTCATTCAGAAGTAGTGACCAAATTATCCGATGATAAGAAACAAACTGTAGGAGGTTCCTACGAAGTGACAGAAAAGAGCCAAACTAAACTTGATGATTCAGTCATTGATAAAGTAGTTACTGAAAGTAAACAAGTCATGGGTATACTCGACACTAAAACCGAACAAACAACAAAACACACCGAAGATAAGAAAATGGAAGGTGATGTAGAAGTATCCACGACTGAAGCTGTTATTACGACCAAACAAACATCCGAAAGTAAAATCATTGATGTTGGCCACAAAGAAGTAGTTGAAACTTCAAGTACTTCTGTTGTTGAATTACCTGAGATGGAAGTGGAAATGGAGAAACTACTTGCCGAAGGTGGGGAGTTAGTAATAACAAAACATGAAGTCCTCAGAACGTCAAGCGGCGAATCTAGTCAAGAATATAAATCGCCAGAAGAAGGTCTTTCATCTTCATCATCCGGGTTGAAACAAGATGAATTGAAACCTGTGGGTGTTATTATGAGAAAACAAAAACATTTACTTGATGATACCAGCAGCAGCAGTTCCAAACAAGACCGGAAATCTGGAATTGAGTTTGAAGCTTATTCTAGCTCAGGTGAAAGTCATTATCAGAGTTTTGAAATTGACAGCGGACGAAGCAGACCATGTTCGTCTGATGTTGATGTCCTTGTAGCGGGTGGATCATCTGAGTATGAAAGTGCTTTGACTTCTCAAGGAACTCATTTAACATCCACTGAATATCACACTGCTGTGAGCAGCATCAGCTCTAAGGACAGCATGAAAAGTTTAGATAGCGAAAGTTCTGGTCATTTAGGAAGCATTGAAGTATCGGAAGCTTCAGAAACTTTGATCCAATCAGAGTACGAAGGTGATATAGCTGATAATGACCTCCTACCAGAAAAACCATCTTTGGGAGAACGACAAAACACTGATGTAAGTGACATGGAAGAATATATGCAAGATGAACTCATTGATATGCCACCAAAAATGAAACGATCACATGAGATGACATTCCAACCTGAACCTAAACCGCTACAAGAAGATTCACCACCATTTGAATCAGAAGAAGTTAAATTGGCAACAAGTCTGGATGATGGAAGTAGTGTTTTGAGTGTTAGCTTGTCAAGCACCTCTAGTATTGGAGCTCAACGAACTGTCATCGAGCAAGATTATCCACTGAGTTCTTCAATTGTCTCAGATCAATTCAGTTTAGATGATTCACAGTTCCACGGAAGTACTGACTGTCTGAGCCAAACACCGGTACCACCCACAACTGAAACTTCAACCTCGACTCATACATATGCTCAAAGCGCACAAATAGATAGTGTAACCCTAAGCACATCAATGGTTGAAGAGAATGGAGTGCAATCTGTTAGTACACAGGTTGTTTCTCAATCACATACACCGGAAGAGGAAAAAGATATTAGCGTAGAACTAGCTAGGCAACAATCTAAACCGCAAGATATTCCTGAACAAAAGAAGCGAGGACATCGCCGTAATGAAAGTACATCGTTTACACCGAGTATGTTACCACAATTGACTAAAATTGATATTCAACCGATTATGACATCAGATATTACTGAAAAAACGTTTGAAATATTAAGTATGAAGGAAACTGAGAGTTCTGTTGAAGTGGAGAAAGAAGATGTTGCTGAGTCTGATGTAGAGTCACGTCCTCAATCACAAATTAGCAAAACTGATTCTGAGCGAGAGCGTGTTCCATCTTCAAATGCATTTACTGACTCTGAATTAGCAGAACTGGCAAAACAATCTTCAGAACCAATCAGTGATCCAATAGATAGACCAGTTTCACCTGAACCTGAAGAATTAAAAACTGACGTTGATGATGGTGATGATATTGAAGATATAAAGCAAATAATCAAAGATGTTGTTATCGAAAAGAAGAAGGAAATTCTAGATAAACGAGACTCTCACGGAAAATCGAGTTCAACGTCCAGTGAGAAATCAAGTTTTGAAGAAGCAGAAGCTGATGCAGCGTTTAATATGGTTCCTCACGTGTCGCCTGCACACAAAGCCAAACAAATTTGTCCTATAATGGAAGACGAAGATGCTGAAAAGCATGAATTGGAAACCCGCGAGAAAGCGCAGAAGGAGTTTGAAGCTAAGAAGAGAGCTATGAGAGATGTTAGTCCTGGACCAGTTCCCGATATTCACGTCACTGAACACATGACACCAATGGATCGGAAAGGATTCCATTATCCCGATTTAGAGTTAGAAGAACAAGAAGCGTTGGAGATAAAGAAACAACAAGTAACTGATGTTGAAGTAGCAAAAGAACCTGAACAGATTACGCCTGAAACTCCAGCGTCTGCGTCAAGTAAAAGTTCAGAATCTACTGACCAGGGCCGAGAGTATGTTATTGAATCAGATGCTTCTTTGCCAGAGGAAACTGATAGTCAACTAACAACTGACGAAGCCAAAACTACGACAGAAGAGTTAAAAACCGACACAGTTCTTGAAAAGACTATAATTGCGGAGGAAACCAAAGAAATACCATCACCCGTTGAATCAAACAGCGATTCATTTGAAATGCTAGAAAAACCTGATCTCATGGATGAGTTTGTTGTCATTGAAGAAGTTGCTAAAGAAGCGCATGAAACTGACATTGAAGGAAAGAGTGTAAAAATCAAAAAAGTAAAAATGGTTAAAAAGCATGACGAAGAGGTAGAAAAACTAATTGTGCGCTCCGCACCTTCACCCACAACTAAAATGACAGATATTAAATATTATCCAGACGGGTCTTCTAGCGATGAATTAGGATTTGACTTTGAAGATAGTCCTCCAAACAAAGAAGAAGGAGAAGCAGCTAGTAAAAGCCCACGTGATTATGTATACGAATATGATCGGGAATTAGAAGCAAACAAGAAATGGATAGAACAACAATTCCAAGGAGACCATGCCGCTATGTTGGCTGCCGGATATGGCTACGAAATGGAGTTTGAACGCTGCCCATTAGAGGATATTAAAGAAGAAGATGCTGCTGATTTTGATTCGTCCAGAATTGGCAGTTTAAACTCCCAAAAGAACTCAGGTGGAAGTTTAGGCAGTGTTAAAGATTCATATTCAAGTACACCAGAGTATGATGTATTGGCAGGTCGGAAATACTTTACCAAATCTGGTGAACACGATGATGTTTCTATGTCCAGCTTGCAAGAGTTTGAAAACCTTGAACGTGCAATGTCTTTAGAAAATCGAAAGTTCCATACTGGATCACAAGATTCTTCTAGTAACGGTAGTTTTAAAACTCGATACCTAAGCCGCGGTGCACAAGGTGATGAAGTATCTGTGAGTTCTCTAAAAGAATTTGAGGGTCTTGAGAAGGCTTGCATTGCTGCGCATCGTGTAGAAGTTATGGTAAAGGAAGAAGAAATGCTTCTAGCCCAAATTGATGAAAGTCAAGAAAGTATGACCTCGGAATCGGAAAGTTGTGAAACCATTACAAAAGAGAAACAACAGCCAGCCACCGAGGAAGATGAAGAAGACTATGAAAAGCGGATGTTTGAAATTGACGAAATTATTAGACAAGCTCAAACCAACGTAGAGAGATTTATTGATCTGAAAGAAGGAGAAAAGACTGAATCTATTGGACGAGGGGATTCAGTTGAAGAAGTCTCTAAAATACCAGATTTAGATCTTGATACACCATTGCCAATCGAAACAAAAACAAAAGTGTTACCCCAGTGGACTCAGTCAGCAGATCTGATGTTGGCTTCTACCGATTCGTTGGATTTAAAAGACTCTAAACCAGCGCATCATGGTAGCACTGACAGTTTAGAACAGAAAACTGGCGTGGAACTAATGACTGCTAGTACTGACTCAATCGAACTTCAAGCGAAACTAAAGGGTACCATTATGACTGATAGTTTGGAAATGAAACATGGCCAGGGCCTTATTTCCAGTGATTCCTTGGAGCTTGCTACTGGAAATATTGTTGCAGGTTTCAGTGATTCCATTGACGAAGATGGTTCCCGCATTGGTGGTTTTGATCAGAGCAGTTCCAGCACTGGCAAAGATTTAAGTTGTTCCAAAGAAGAGGAACCCATTGATATGACTAAACCAATTCCTGAAATGGTGGAAAGCACTGACAGTATTGCTTCCACCTCAACCGCCACACGTGCCATGTACCAATATGAAACCGACTCGATGATTTCGGGCAGTTTTACCAGTGAAGGATCCAACACAATGGTTTCGTCAACTGATAACATTGATCCAGTCACCGGGGAACCAATTGATCTCTCAGACGCCGTTCGCCAAGTATGGTTTGGTGATGATCAGGACGAAGGAGAAGCGTATGTCACCGAAGTAATTGAACCGGGCGAGTCTGAAATAACTCATTATACGTTTAGTGGTCCTACCGCAGACGATCAAATGCAACAATTACTGCAAGACTTTAACGAAGGAGAGGAAGTTGTTGAGGAAACAACCACCGATGAGCACGGCAACGTGCATGTAAGGCGAACAATTAAAAAACGAATTATTGTCAAAGATGATGGTACTGAAAGCATCATCAAGCGTACGTGTATTGACGATAAAGGCACCAAGACCATTTATACGCAGGAATTTAGCACCGCACAGCCGGACACGGCAGCGGCGGTACAAAGTTTGCTATCTCATATTGCCGGAGATGTTACAGGTTTGTCGCAATCACATGATTTTTAACCGAAACCTTAATTTATTGTGCATTCCATATCATTCAGTTCATTTGAAGTTTGAAATTCAACAAAACCAGCTTGTTTGCCATTTTAGTTAAACGATACACTCAAGACATCACCATTTCTCTTTCTTTACGTTTTTATTTTATTATATCTTTGGGTAAGTTTTGTTTGGGTTAATGGCATGCGGTTTTATACTCATAGAATCTATTTCTAAAATTGAAGATGTATTAAAGTGGTTTATTGACGTTTATAGGTGAATCTTCAGTCACATGGCAGGAGTCTACAGTGACTACTACCACCACCACTACTTCTTCACAAAAAGGTGAGTGTTATCGACATGGGACTTTTAATTAACACAAACCTCTAAAAAAATAATGATTGAGGTATAAATATTTTTGCTTTAAACATGTTTTATATAGCATTTCGTAGACGCCCGATGCTTCTTGAAATCAGCCTGGATGACAAGACTATGATCGAAGTCGATCCAAGGGAACACGACTGGCGTTTTAATTTGCCACTACATGGTAGTTAAAATTAGTCTACATTGACTGTGCCCATGCATCAGCAAACATATTGCATATGAAATTTTATCTATATGTTTTTTGTCTCAACTATCCCCTACAACGCAAAAGCACACGACATTTCGCATGCGACAACGATATAATGTGGAATGATACGTCCCATTTTTCTATCTCACTATAAATGTGTTGTGTCATTTCCGGTTGGATATTTACACGTTTATTTTGATTGTTTTAGCCGAAGATGACGAAAGGAAGGCTGATGGAGCATCTGGAACATCCAATGACGTTACCACTACCACCACCACCAGGTAAAATTATTAAAACTTAGAGAATAACGAAATTAACTTAATAAATATAATATTTTGCAGAACCGTTACGGATCCTCAACATCTCTCCGAAGAAATGAAACAGTTGCTCAAAGAAATGGAAGAGCAAGGCAAGAAGTAAACAATTGATAACCGTATCTCTCGCTATTGGTCGACAATGTTGATCGTAACATAACACTTCTACTATCTTTTTACTATGTAATCGCTTACAAAAACAATGCTGTCCAAAAATTATGCTGGATGATAATCGTAACAAAAACGTACCAAAAAGCGTTCTTTCCACTTGACTCGCTTTGTCCATTATAAATGCAAACAAAACTTTGAGAAAAAATGTCATAAATGATAACAAAATCCATCCCGCCCGTCGAATATGGAAGCATACAATCATAGAAACCATCTAAGCAAAACATTTTATGGAGTTACTCAACACGATGAATAAAATCAGCAAATTTTGCAAATCACACATAAATGTAACACGCAAGGAATTATCAAAAGCGTTGTACTTATTCAGTGACCTAATTAGATGTGTTTCCGCTAAGTCTAATCCAAGAAAAAGAGCTGAATATAAAATTTAAAAAAAAAACATAGGCAACAATTTTATTGAAAATTCTGCTAGTCGGAAGTTTTTTGACCGTCTAGTGATATACTAGTACTTAATATATAAATTAAAAGGTATGAGTACGAGAACAGACAACAATTCAAATAATTGGAATGATTGACGAGACGACCAGTGAATTTTGGAAGACGATAAATGTTAGGAGTATTATTTAGCGTGGGCTAAATAACAAGACCAAGCTTGAACAAAACGACACCACTAATAAATAATTATTTGAACGTGGAAGTTATGAGTAGCTTAAGAAATATGCGCAGCTTTGTATTACATGTACAGCTTTTAAAACGCTTCAAAATAACTATAATCCATTAGATAAGGTGATTTCATAAACAGTCGTAGCAGGAATATATTGAATAAACACATACCGAATAAAATAAACACAAAACATAAAATATATTCTTGTTATTATCGAACAAACTTCAAATAGTTACTCTTATTAACATAATAATTAATCTATCTTTGATAATGAAAGACTTATCGTTTGGTTTCACTTCTGCGAGGTGATAACAAAGACTAGTCATAATAATGGCATATTTCTTAAGGTATTCTAAGATATCCGAGCTTAAAAGATGAAATGTGAATGAGATTTGTTTCTTTTGAATAAGTTGATTTTTTACTAGAAACGATGAAAGAAAGGATGAAGATTTCGAAAGCATCAAATGCAATGAACAAAGAAACATTAAAAACGAATTGCTGCTATTCAATAAGCAATTTGTGGTTAATATAGTGTGTAGCTAGGCTTTAAAAATCTATTGGAACCTACAAATTTGCCTATGAGTCGTGCGTGCAGTTATTTTTAACAGGGTTAGTGGTTTTTCCCTTTAATCATGATTGCAAAGTGAGGATTTTTGGCAGATTTGAATGTTTCAATTGTTTTATGTCCTTGATTTTTATTTTAAGTACTCAATGTGAATTATATATTACTATTAAGAAAAATGTGTATCAAAATATTTAATGAATAAAGCTTACAATTAAAATTTGCTTCTGAGTATCAATTTTCCCTAATTCTAATTTCTTAATCTAAAAAATTATTATTTTATACCATTCTCAGCGGATTTTTCAAAATAACGATTTTTTTATGCAAGGAGGCGGAGAAGATGTTGTAAAATGGATTAAAGGATAGGAATTTATGCTAATTCGTCTGTTTATTAGTTAGTCAACTTGAAATTAAATTAAAGTGTCAATAACAAATGTGACCCTGAAATTTTGTGTCCAAACATTAAATCTGTAACCATTTGAATGCATTTTATATCTGAAACCGATAACCCCTAACAAATAACGTAATATTTACGCAGTAATAATATTTGAATACAAACTTGTAAACAAACGCAATACGTTTCGATTCCAGTTTACATTTCGTTGTTTTTAAGGCCTTCAACGAAAAAGACAAACATCAGTTCTGGCAAGCTGGAGGGAAAGATAACCGATAACGGTAATATAAGTTTGATCGATCCGTTGAGGCACACTTCCCCATTACGTCATCCCACGAAGTCCTACAGACGCTGCGGAAATGCCGGGGTGGCGCGCGCGGTAGTGGGGCGGCCGACAACGTCACGACGACGCCACCGACGCCGCCACCACGAGCGCCTGCTCCATGCAGTCAAAGCAAGAGGGGCGGCGTGGCGTCGATACATCTCCGCGCTCGCTCCTTCGCAACGCCGCCAACGGGGCAGGCCGGAACCGCTGGAACGCGTACGTCGAACCGCGAGCGCCGAGTGCGAACGGAGCCTCCGAAAACAAGTCAGTGTGAAACGAGAGCGACGGTTGTTTGTTGGCGATCGTGTGGACGGTGCATGAACTGCAGAAGACTCAGCTAGCAATCATGGACGCGCTGAGCAGAAGGAGCGGATGGACGTGGACAGTGTTAATCGTGGGCAGTATTGCGATTGGATGTAAGTAGAAAACAAAAATTGTACGCTTTTTCAAAGAACGCCAACGACGACAGCGCGCAAGTATGTACGTCCCGCTCGATGTCGAGGGTTTATGTAACACTCGAGGGTGATATATACGGTTATCCTTGAACCGTGTGCCGAATATACCTTCGAAGGGATCGCATTCCAATTTGGAAGGTCACCACGCAGTGCCGTTTTTTAAATCAATCAAATATTTTATCCACGACTGACGATTTTATTTATTGCTTTTCATGTTTTACAAAGGAGTAATTTTCGATGCTTCCGCTTTCCGTGAGTGGGTCTGCAATTTATGCGCTTAAGCTTCTCTCATAGATTCTAGTCAATAAAACCTTCAACTATTCTATTTCTACGTTGAGCCGCCGAAAGAATCAATAATATGTTATACTATTTAATATCCGATTAAGGTAAAAGGATTTCGTCGTGGTCGTGGTACTTATGCCCTTTGGACGTTGGAAAGTGACACACATTTTGTCACAGCCCAAGGTATCTGGAACGCGCGTAATCTAAGAAACCCGAGAAAATCGCCAATTATAACACAACTCAACCAACGATAAAAAATTTGCTTTCAATGCGAAAACGTCGGTAATTAATGTGTCCGCTACAGATCGTTGCAAAATACCGATGACCATGAAAATTCTGATTCACTCGCGTGCATTACTGTTACGTAATTGAACCACTTTGACTGTATTAAATGCTGATAATAATATTTTCGACACGCAAGATGTGATTTTCATAATGCATTTCTAAACATCCTTGTCTGTATTGCAGGTGCCACGGCGAATAGCAACGAGCAGGAGAAATCAATCACGTGTTATCAGTGCAATTCAGAGTATGATCCACGATGCGGCGATCCGTTCGATCCATACACGCTCGGAACGGTCAACTGTTCGATGAAGAAACCGCTCGAACACATGCCAGATTATAAGCCAGTCTTGTGTAGGAAGACAATGCAAAAAGGTATGCACGTCACTAGGACTAGGATAATAGCTTATTTTCATATGAAAGTATCATTTAAAAATAGAAGCCACAAAACGGGGTACAAAATGTCAACTTAAAATCCATATTTATGTCACCTCAGCCTGTTTTCCTCATGGTGTCTTTTTCATCGTTTAAGTGAGGAGATTTAATGGGTGGTAATTAATACCAATTTAAAAGTTTTCATTTTGTGGCTTGAGCTAAGTGCAACCTATGCTTTATAATTAGAGAGTGTATAAATATAATAAAGTCGTGTGCGGGAACTGTGCTGACATGTTATAAAAATAAACAATCAATCATCAAGATATTGGCTGTTAAAATAAATAAAAATTTAGATTTTGATAAATTTGAACTACTTTTAATTAAATATAAGTGTAATAATAATATTTAGGCATAATTGTTGTTGTTTTTCCTTGCTGCTGGGCATATTGATTTATTTTGTTTTCCAGTTCAAGGAAAAATCCGTGTGATTCGAGGATGTGGCTACCTGCGAAACGAAAGAGACGATGGAGAATGCATGAAACGCAGTGGCACACACGATGTGCAGTTGCGTTACTGTTCGTGTTCGAAGAATCTTTGCAATTCTGCAGAACACACCACGATCTCCTCGAACATGGTCGCCGCCTTCGTCACACTCGCCCTGACGCTACTCCTGCGACAACCCTAAGCGTCAACACCACTAAACCCAGTTCACCGTGTTGCATCCCTTCGCGAACGATGCGACAACAGATATCAAAACAAAACCAGACACAACAAACGTTCCCATGAATAACTTTAAAGATCAAAACAGGAGAGTATTCGAATACGACGCCAAACGACTATTCCTGCCCTTACACAATAAACAAACTTTACTTCCACGAAAGAAAATGCATTCGCACGTGTAGGATTCAAATGGTAAACGCCACAGTCGATCCTCATATTTGAATACTCTCAAGAATGAAAGCAATCATTACAACGATAATGATTAATAAAACGGGTCGCAATGCAATACACACGACGCATTTTCAAAGCAGCTATAAGATAGTATCACATGCGTTTACTTAGTGGATAAGAATCATTGATCAAAATTGATACAACAACGCTTTCCACAACTTCAAAACAGGAATATAAACAATTTTAGAAACACTTGAATGAAAGTTAGGTTGAACTGAGCTGCTGAGTACATAATTATAAAATAAATTAGCATAAAACACTAAAATCTAAAACTAATGTATATCTCAAAATCGCTTGCAAGTACAACACGTGCCGGAAGGAATTTCCAACGAAGAAATACATGAACAATGTACAGAATGCATGGAATTGTAAAACATATATATTCAAAAGGATGCGTCTATTAATATTTTATCGGCGTTGAGACGATCGCACGAATGCTCCATTAGTTGCAATTGTTTTATCTTTGCACGACACGACTAAAAACTATCCTGCCATCTTCAAACATCTCAATCATTACATGACATTTACAAAATCCGATTAATTTGGATTGTAAAATTACGTGCATGCAAAGATAAAACAATCAAAGCGTTACCTCGTGGCAGCATAGTTTAAACATTCACACTCACACGTACACGCCCACACTCACACGAATAAATCACATACACCGTACATACGCATACACCGAGTAACGAATTCGAAAACTATAAATTAAGGCAAAACAGAGTGTAATATGGTCAGATCATATTATCGCGTTTGAGCTGTTGTTATATACTTTCGAAACACTGCCCATGTCAAAATCGGCGTGTGAAAGTTTCGTTTTTCATTTTCATCGAATAATAAGAATTATACCGACAAATAGGTGGATCTATAATGTTTCAGTTGAAATGTTACAACAAACAAAAAAACGTTAATGATAAACGCTGCCATTTAGTAGATAACTAACTAAAAATTATAAAAATTAATAATGCTTGCTAAAACGTTTTGTAGTTCCAGCAAAATTTTCATTATTCAAAAGATGTTTGGATAATAAAGTTTTTGCGTAATTATATTAAGTTTGAATTCCAACAAAAAAGAATTACAATAGAATTGCAAGAGTTCTTATGAATAAGTGTAATAATGACATCCTAGTTACGCGTACGAATATTTGCGTAATGTTGATTAATTTCTAATAATAATAATATATAACGAAAGGATAAAGCAATTTTGAAAGCTTAAGATTTGTTTGCGCGCTTTGTTAAAGTTTGTTGAGTTTACGAATCGGCTTCGAATCGGCATATACCACAAGAATTTGGAACAGAGTCAGATTCAATTGAGATTATAACATGAAAGAAAACATCATTATTGAATATAAGCTTGATGAAATGCCGATTGTATATGGTTTTGATGTATAAAATCAAATTGATTGATTGATTAAAAACCGAAATTTTGAATATAAAAGTACAAAAATGTACCTTACAGAATTTACACACAAAAATCTAAGTGTTTCATGCCATTAACATAATTACATAGGTATATATAATGTTGAATAGTTCCTTCTTGTTCTTCAAGCATACACGCCCCCATAAATGTTTTTGTTCTACAACAACAAATGTAAGCAGGAAATTAAATAGACTATTATTGTTAATGTGCAAAGAAGACACAGAAATTAGAGAGTCATTCTACATAATTCTTTTCAAATGTCGAAGCAGACAATGTTATTGGAGTGGAGCGAAAATGGATAACATAATAACTGAATAAAGCTAAATAAGAGAAAAACAAAAACGATCGAAATAATTATTACACTGTGTATGTATTATTAAATAACTAAGGTTTAAAAAATATACCATGATTGTAAATAAGAAGACAAAGAAATACTTATTAAAAACTCTGTGAAAATAAATACTAACTGAAAATATGGTAAAAATTGGAAGAAGCATATTTCTTCGTATTTTTTTATGAATTATTATAAATTATTTTGAATGCACGCTGCTATAATAATACATTGTTTGGTCATTGTATATGTCTTGTATGTCAGTCAAAAAATGAAAGAAAAATAATAATTATAGAAATACTTATATTGCAGTTTTACAATACAAACAGTTTCTTCCCAAAATGCGTCCCCATACGTTGACATTTTTTCCAATTTTGAAAAACTTGGTACGGAAAACACTATATCTGCACTAACAATTAAAGGATTCGGGTAAAGTGATATTAGATTGTAAATTTATGACCACTCTTTCCTACTCTTCCCCCCCACACACTCACATGACCAGCGCTTCAAACGGTTCAACTGGTTTGTTTTTATCTTATATTTTTAGTTGATACCGACGCGTTGTTCGCGACGTTCAGGTAGACAAATCGTGCTATGTTGAACCATCAATCGACGGCATTTAGTGGTTTTGGGCTTTGGCGTGTGCTGTTTCGTTGTAATTGTTTTCAACAAGTGTAATAATTACAATTATTTAATATTCACGTGTGTTTTGCGGTCGCCCTGTCCAGGTTGCCGGTGATCCAGAACAGAATTCAGTCTTATCGCTACGTATGTATGGTACGTATTCTCCGACAAAGCACGTTTCTTAGTTTTATTGTGGTGGTGTGCAGAACCGATGAGAAGGGGGGCCAACTTATTTTTATCTGATAGAGAATTTTACAATTTTTCATAATCAGCAATTCGTTGGCTGCTATCTCTTTTAGTTTAAGAGATATTAATTATCAAAAATCGTCGATAAAAATTATCAAGTACCCCCCCTTGGCAATTTTTTTCTTAAGAATTAAAATTTCATCTCTCGGATTTCCGTTTCAATTGCTGTCCTATACACATATAAAGCGTGAAGTAACTTTTACAAAAATATTTGTGTTAAGTGAGCCTTAGAAGTTGTACATGAAAGATATAATACATAAAACTTTACATTAATTTATATTAACGTAACGAAATTAATTATATAAATATTAATTTCAATTTTACAAGGTCATTATGTCGGTAATCGTTTGTTCCAGATTAATGTTTTCTTCATATTCAGGTAACGCAAGAGTTGTTATATTATAAATTCCACGAATTAGATTTAAAAAAAAATGTTTTAATGTTTGTCATTCGTTGATGTGTTATGAAACGTTATATAATATTTTATTTATGTAGATGCATTTGAGAATGGTTCCGTATTCAATTCTATGTTTATTGTGATTTTTATGTAAACAACTTTTTTATCGCGTTGAATCAGCTACACGACGCTGCACTTGCACTACGAACGTGCGAACGTTTCAGTGTGTTTTTAGTGTGTTCTTCCTTACAATTCAGTTAAATGAACGACAATACATCATATCGATAAATATCGGCACTATACCATAGATGTGTTTAGTGTTTTTCATTGATTTGTGCGTGAAATGATTTTAAAACTTGTGTCTTCATTTGTGCGTTAGTGTACCGTCGGTAATTCGATTTTTTCAATGCTAAGAATTGGAATTCAAAATTTATATGCCATTATTAACTTCGAGTACGTATAATTAAATTTTGTCCTCGGCAGGAATTTACGGGAATTTAAGCAAGTTTACTAGCTCGTAATGATCTGAACATTGTGGGTCAAAATACCGCTTGCAATGCAAATTTATTATCCGACGGAAAGGACTTTATATTTAATTATGCAACATAGTGCAAGTGCTAATTCACGTGTTTTTTTCTGTTTCAGTTCTTTCTTTGATTAGCTACGTCATTGGTAAGTATGTAAATATTATTACATCATGATAAAATTTTTATAGTGCATCAAGCGTTATTCTGTTGTATTCTTAATTTTGTAATTGGGTTAACGCGTTTAATAGATTGATAATTAATTAATGTTGTAATATATATGTAAAACACGTTTTAAATGGGCTTCCGGCTGTGAAGAAGAGCGATAACGTCGGCAGACACTTTGTCTTGATTGTGCGATCCTCTTTATCTCTATTAGTTTAGAAGATATCGCTAAAACATATTTCGATACAATGAGAAGACCCCCTCTTTGCATAATTTTTTTTAAAACCCTATTTTTAAAATTGACTGTAGCTCTAATTAAACTAGTCTATCTTAAAGAGAAATTTTCGTAGGTTAAGGATATGCCATTCGATCCTCTTTATCTCTATTAGTTTAGAAGATATCGCTAAAAACATATTTCGATACAATGAGAAGACCCCCCTCTTTGCATAATTTTTTTTAAAACCCTATTTTTAAAATTGACTGTAGCTCTAATTAAACTAGTCTATCTTAAAGAGAAATTTTCGTAGGTTAAGGATATGCCATTCGATCCTCTTTATCTCTATTAGTTTAGAAGATATCGCTAAAACATATTTCGATACAATGAGAAGAACCCCTCTTTGCATAATTTTTTTTAAAACCCTATTTTTAAAATTGACTGTAGCTCTAATTAAACTAGTCTATCTTAAAGAGAAATTTTCGTAGGTTAAGGATATGCCATTCGATCCTCTTTATCTCTATTAGTTTAGAAGATATCGCTAAAAACATATTTCGATACAATGAGAAGACCCCCCTCTTTGCATAATTTTTTTAAAACCCTATTTTTAAAATTGACTGTAGCTCTAATTAAACTAGTCTATCTTAAAGAGAAATTTTCGTAGGTTAAGGATATGCCATTCGATCCTCTTTATCTCTATTAGTTTAGAAGATATCGCTAAAACATATTTCGATACAATGAGAAGACCCCCCTCTTTGCATAATTTTTTTAAAACCCTATTTTTAAAATTGACTGTAGCTCTAATTAAACTAGTCTATCTTAAAGAGAAATTTTCGTAGGTTAAGGATATGCCATTCGATCCTCTTTATCTCTATTAGTTTAGAAGATATCGCTAAAAACATATTTCGATACAATGAGAAGACCCCCCTCTTTGCATAATTTTTTTAAAACCCTATTTTTAAAATTGACTGTAGCTCTAATTAAACTAGTCTATCTTAAAGAGAAATTTTCGTAGGTTAAGGATATGCCATTCGATCCTCTTTATCTCTATTAGTTTAGAAGATATCGCTAAAACATATTTCGATACAATGAGAAGACCCCCCTCTTTGCATAATTTTTTTAAAACCCTATTTTTAAAATTGACTGTAGCTCTAATTAAACTAGTCTATCTTAAAGAGAAATTTTCGTAGGTTAAGGATATGCCATTCGATCCTCTTTATCTCTATTAGTTTAGAAGATATCGCTAAAAACATATTTCGATACAATGAGAAGACCCCCTCTTTGCATAATTTTTTTAAAACCCTATTTTTAAAATTGACTGTAGCTCTAATTAAACTAGTCTATCTTAAAGAGAAATTTTCGTAGGTTAAGGATATGCCATTCGATCCTCTTTATCTCTATTAGTTTAGAAGATATCGCTAAAAACATATTTCGATACAATGAGAAGACCCCCTCTTTGCATAATTTTTTTAAAACCCTATTTTTAAAATTGACTGTAGCTCTAATTAAACTAGTCTATCTTAAAGAGAAATTTTCGTAGGTTAAGGATATGCCATTCGATCCTCTTTATCTCTATTAGTTTAGAAGATATCGCTAAAAACATATTTCGATACAATGAGAAGACCCCCCTCTTTGCATAATTTTTTTAAAACCCTATTTTTAAAATTGACTGTAGCTCTAATTAAACTAGTCTATCTTAAAGAGAAATTTTCGTAGGTTAAGGATATGCCATTCGATCCTCTTTATCTCTATTAGTTTAGAAGATATCGCTAAAAACATATTTCGATACAATGAGAAGACCCCCCTCTTTGCATAATTTTTTTAAAACCCTATTTTTTAAAATTGACTGTAGCTCTAATTAAACTAGTCTATCTTAAAGAGAAATTTTCGTAGGTTAAGGATATGCCATTCGATCCTCTTTATCTCTATTAGTTTAGAAGATATCGCTAAAAACATATTTCGATACAATGAGAAGACCCCCCTCTTTGCATAATTTTTTTAAAACCCTATTTTTAAAATTGACTGTAGCTCTAATTAAACTAGTCTATCTTAAAGAGAAATTTTCGTAGGTTAAGGATATGCCATTCGATCCTCTTTATCTCTATTAGTTTAGAAGATATCGCTAAAAACATATTTCGATACAATGAGAAGACCCCCTCTTTGCATAATTTTTTTAAAACCCTATTTTTTAAAATTGACTGTAGCTCTAATTAAACTAGTCTATCTTAAAGAGAAATTTTCGTAGGTTAAGGATATGCCATTCGATCCTCTTTATCTCTATTAGTTTAGAAGATATCGCTAAAAACATATTTCGATACAATGAGAAGACCCCCCTCTTTGCATAATTTTTTTAAAACCCTATTTTTAAAATTGACTGTAGCTCTAATTAAACTAGTCTATCTTAAAGAGAAATTTTCGTAGGTTAAGGATATGCCATTCGATCCTCTTTATCTCTATTAGTTTAGAAGATATCGCTAAAACATATTTCGATACAATGAGAAGACCCCCCTCTTTGCATAATTTTTTTAAAACCCTATTTTTAAAATTGACTGTAGCTCTAATTAAACTAGTCTATCTTAAAGAGAAATTTTCGTAGGTTAAGGATATGCCATTCGATCCTCTTTATCTCTATTAGTTTAGAAGATATCGCTAAAAACATATTTCGATACAATGAGAAGACCCCCCTCTTTGCATAATTTTTTTTAAAACCCTATTTTTAAAATTGACTGTAGCTCTAATTAAACTAGTCTATCTTAAAGAGAAATTTTCGTAGGTTAAGGATATGCCATTCGATCCTCTTTATCTCTATTAGTTTAGAAGATATCGCTAAAAACATATTTCGATACAATGAGAAGACCCCCCTCTTTGCATAATTTTTTTAAAACCCTATTTTTTAAAATTGACTGTAGCTCTAATTAAACTAGTCTATCTTAAAGAGAAATTTTCGTAGGTTAAGGATATGCCATTCGATCCTCTTTATCTCTATTAGTTTAGAAGATATCGCTAAAAACATATTTCGATACAATGAGAAGACCCCCCTCTTTGCATAATTTTTTTAAAACCCTATTTTTTAAAATTGACTGTAGCTCTAATTAAACTAGTCTATCTTAAAGAGAAATTTTCGTAGGTTAAGGATATGCCATTCGATCCTCTTTATCTCTATTAGTTTAGAAGATATCGCTAAAAACATATTTCGATACAATGAGAAGACCCCCCTCTTTGCATAATTTTTTTAAAACCCTATTTTTAAAATTGACTGTAGCTCTAATTAAACTAGTCTATCTTAAAGAGAAATTTTCGTAGGTTAAGGATATGCCATTCGATCCTCTTTATCTCTATTAGTTTAGAAGATATCGCTAAAACATATTTCGATACAATGAGAAGACCCCCCTCTTTGCATAATTTTTTTAAAACCCTATTTTTAAAATTGACTGTAGCTCTAATTAAACTAGTCTATCTTAAAGAGAAATTTTCGTAGGTTAAGGATATGCCATTCGATCCTCTTTATCTCTATTAGTTTAGAAGATATCGCTAAAAACATATTTCGATACAATGAGCATAATTTTTTTAAAACAGATGCCGTGCCCCCTCATTTGCATAATTTTAATTCCTTTTAAGTTTTTAACGTAGTTTTGTTTTTCGCGTTCCACCGGAGAAAACTCTCTAAAATGAAAAAATCGCTTTTATCACTTTTAGACACGATTTCAGAACCTTTACACACTGTATTTTAATTATTTTCTTATCTTATCTTATAGAGAATTTTCCAAACTTTCATAATCTTCGATCGGCTGGCCGCTAGCGTTTTTTGTTTACAAGATATGTCCTAAATTATCAAAAAGCAGGGTACCGCACCCCCGTTGCCCATTTTTTCGCAATGGGAATCACTTCTACCGTTACTCCCTACGATGCTCTGAACTCGAGTCACTTTAACCGCTAGCCTCGTAAGGTGCCCTAAACACGAGTCACATTAACCGCTAGCCTCGTACGGTGATCTGAACACGAGTCGCTTTACCGCTAGTCTCGTACGGTGCCCTGAACACAAGTCAATTTTACGGTCTCGTACGGTTTCCTGAATGGGAGTCACTTATACCGCTACCCTTTTTAAATTATTTTTTCATTTGTTAGATTTTCAATTTAATTTGTTTATCTCGTAGAGAATTAAGAATATTCAATTCTTACCTTTCTATCGCGTTTAGTTTCTGGGAAAATCGCGTTGCCATCTCCTCGTGCCGCATGTTGTAAATTCTCAAAATATTTATCAAAAAGGCCGCTAAAGTTTGCTCCTTTTTTTAGTTTTACCAAACCCGCGAGCGCGGTGTCACAATTAGTCCGGAATAGTTTTTCCAGATACCGAAATTAATTCTGTATCTCTCTGTATAGATATTTATGGCAAGAAACTTCCGTAACGCGAGTTATTTTGAAAGTTATGTGTGTGCGCCGTAGTACTCGTTGCGCTAGAAATTGTAGTTTTTTTAGTATAACACGTGAACGCGGTGTCACAATTAGTCTGGAATAATTTTCCCAGATGCAGAATTTAATTCTGTACCTTCCTGTATTGATATTTATGGCGAGAAAATTCCGTAACGCGAGTTATATTGAAAGTTGTGTGTATACGCAATTGTACTCGTTGCGCTAGGAGTTGTAGTTTTTTTAGTATAACACGCGAACGCGGTGATTTCGGAATAATTTCTTCAGATGCGGAATTTAATTCTTTATTTCCCTATTCCTTTCTGTCTCTTTTAGTTTTAGTTTAAATTAATTTAAATTTCTATCTGATTTCCAATCTTCCATAATAGAGATTTTCCCGTAAATTAAAAAAGCTACTACCCGTTTTTTTTTCTATCATTTTAGATTATGATGAATCCGCAAGCTTACCTCATTTTTCGAAATAAGAAATTAAAATTTGATGGATAAATCGAATTTTAATTTTGCATTATTTTTAATAATCTAAACTGCGGGACTACTATCTGTATTATACATAGATGGCACAAGTATGAACTAAAAATATTAAAATGGATTTGTATTGTTTATTTAAATATTTATCTGCAAACGTGGGCATTCGGCACAAGGATTGTGTTTATTTTGATCACAACTTTCATTTTCTTATCGCCGGGTGGTTTAGTTTTGATCGCAGGTAACGTGTCGCGCTCAGGGTCGCGTGTCATCGACGCTTTGCAGATCTATTGCTTTCTTATTATAAAATGTTGCATCGTTGCTTGCACAGTTTGCAGCCAGTTTCGTGCCGGTTTCGGGTTGGTCCAGACGTACTTTACGCGACTCATATTGTATGTCCGGTCATCTACTTTTTAAATTCGCATTATATTCGATCATCAATCGACTATAGTAATGTTATTTACTGTTTGCCCGTATATTGTCCGTAAATGCCGGTTAAGTGTATCGCCCCCATGTTGATTTGATATTCATCATTAGGATGACCCATCGTGCTGGCGTAGGTATCTTTTAACAAAACAGCACAGATTGTTTGTCTTTCTCCGCTGTGTGACTATAGTATTACTAAGTTTTATGAAATATCTTTGTTTAAACTTAGGTTTTCTTTTTTTATTTACAGTATTTGCCGTGCCTTGAAGTCTATAAGTTCTGCATTGGTAAGTTTATAATTCAATTATATTTTTCGTTTTAGAAGGTGTGTAACATAAATACTATATTCTGTTATCTTTCGACTAATTAAACAGTAAAATGTGGATTTATCAGTCAAATTAGAAGAAGCTCTGAAAATGGTCACATTAATCCACGATGTAATGCAAGTAGTGTGCAATATTGTCGCGTTCCATCGACTGCCTATTCGGTTCCGTTTAACGTGCATTTAACAAGGTACTAGAACTTATATTTATTCTTTTCTTTTTTGTATCACCCTGTATATAAATTTTCCTTTGACAACAGATTTTCTTTTGACAACACCTTGTATATAATTTTTTCTTGCTCAGTAAAAAAATTGCCAATCTTTATTGTTTTGAAGCCATTTTCTTTTTACATTGTAGATTTTCAATTGATAACAGCCTGTATATAATTTTCCCGTGATGTCACGCGAAAGCAGGGTGCAATTTGCTATTTTCTAGTGTTATCCTTTGAAATTTGGTAACAGTTTGCATGTCGTGGGTTTGCAGGTGACAAACATGTTTTAAAATGACGTCACGTGATCTGTAGGAATTGAACTTGCAAATTCTGGAGTTGTATTGTATGTAATTTGTTAATAAAGAACTGTTTCTACGGCAATGGTAATGTCTTATGACTTGTGCACCCCTCCTTTCTATCATTTCAGGTATAGGTCAGAACAGGTGAGTATTTCCTAGTTAGTGTTGTGGTCGGGTCTGAGAGAGACGACACTTGGAAATATCTCTACAAATCCTTATAAGGAATGTCCTTATAAGGAGTTCTCCCACTCGGGGGATGATCCCCCACCATAAAAATTGTTAATATGCCTAAGAATCCTGGGGATGAAGCGTAGAGACATCGTAGCTGTAGGTTGGGCCGGGAGCAATGGACGCATCGAAGCAGTGGGACCGTAGACTGTCTTATAACGACACCTGCCAAAAAATTTAAAAATCTGAGCCACTCCTGCCTGGTTCTCGGGGTGGCTTTCTCAACTTTTTCTTGTTCTCCTACTACTTCTTACTCTACTCCTTTCTGCACTTGTATTATTCCCGACTTCTCTTTCTCCGTATTCCATTCCGTTGCCATGTTATTCGTTGTTATTCGAAATTTTATTTGAATTTCAACTCTGTTGTATAGGCAACCCACATTACTCGGATTTATTTTGATATTTAAGAAAACATCCTTGCTCTACTGGGATTCGAACCACGAAATTCTAATATGCAAGTAAAGGCGCATGCACCTGAGCCACTGAGCCCTCTTATCATACGGTATTCGTTTCAGGTATAAGTGTTGCACCTTTATTCATGTTTTTAAAAAACAACAACACTGACGCAGTGTCATACCTACATATAAACGCATCAAATGTTTTATTTAAAACCTATTCTGAAAACGACAAAAAGGATTTATAAATAATCATACACGCAATTGAAATGTTAACTTATATTTTATTAAAAGTCCGACAATCACAAAAGTATAGTTTTATGTTAATAATTTATTGTTCCGGCATTAGTTATCTTTCTACACGAGATACAAGCGAAGTTTATTTCCATGAGTAATAACTTCTTTTAATACCCTACTGAAGTTTCCAAATCTCGCACATTTTGAATCAAGCTTCGTGCGGCTATCCTCCGAGAACACGTTCTAGAAAGACCTGAATATGATTCAGATTGAAATCCATGAAATTTTCCGATGGGAAAAAATGTAGTGTTAAGTTTTGCGTTTCTGTGCTGTACACATTGCATACTTCCATAGAGTTAACTCACCAGAAAAATTAAATCCCACGCCGTTATACTGGCACGCTACACTCGATAACAAAACATCTAGCACTGGTACTCTTAAACACGCGATTTACTGAAATACAATTTCAATAAACCAAACGACTCACAAAAATACATACTTCGGACGCACCGTCGATAGGAACTGACTAAACTTGTACGGAGCAAGCGCACTTAGATTAACTGCCACCGCGTCATGAAATACTGCTAAATACGATAATACAAGTTACTTATACACAACAGCGCTAAGCGCAAATAGTAGAAATCGTATATTATTGCAAGTATTATTGTGAAACTACAAATTAGGCACTACTGGAAAATAAGACCGCGCTCCGCGAACGGAACCACAAACTGAGTGCATGTGGTGCTTGCTAGACAAGTCGTGCATATGTTGATAAACCCCCACTGCATTCCGATATCCACTTTAATTTTGCTACAGAACATTTACAATACTAGCGGGCTCGACAGGCGTTGTTATGTACACACGTTTTAATTTGGAAAATTTTAAAACTTTTTGAATAAGTTGTGACAATGAAAAGTTATTACAACGCAGGACCAATAATCGAGAGAATCTAAAATTAAAATCTTATTTTGAATATTTGACATTGCGATTGCAGCGTTGTCTGCCGGATTTAATGTAAAACATTTCAAGATCAACAATAATTTGTGGAGTTGGGGATTGTCCGATAAAGAGCGCAATGTTCAGCTGATCTAGTTGCAGTTTGTTATCACAGCCATCTTGTTTTGCGTATGACGAAGCACTCACAAATTTTTAAATAAATAAACATTATACAGTGGACGAAATTATAAATCTATTCACGAATCCTTTTGAACACACACGAATAATTCAATCAATATCGGTCCTGCCATTTAGGAGGAGTTCAGTGCCTTACGGACAGAAGAATTATATGTATGTGTGATTAATAGTAAAGCATTTCCTAAATGTTTACAGGATCAAAACCTGATGTATATTGTAAGGGATCCCTTAACCGACCATATACCAGACAACCCAAGGATAACACAATTTGTTTAATTGTTTAAAAGTAATAATTATCAACGACGTATAAAATTGTCAATTTTGAAAGAAAGTAATTGAAACGAACGTATTTTTGCTTTTTACATTTGAAATATACCGTGGAGGATTAAGCGTTTTCAGCCATGGCATCGGTGCAATATTTGTTTTCTTTTACTAAAACTTTCCAAGAAGAGTTGATAACAGCGCAAACGTACGTTATCGATTACAATTGTATTATTATTTTAGTGTTATATGTACAATAAGCAAAGAACATAATACAATTCCAGTCATCTGCAAGAAGTGACCGCTTTTCGAATACTGAATGTGATTATAATTCAAAAGACTTGGAGAGGTTACTATGCGTATAAAAAATACCAAAGGATCCGTAATGCAATTATCACAATACAAAGTTTTTGTCGTGGCTGGAAAGTACGCAAAAACAAGGAGCAATATGAAGAAGAGTACAAACGTGCTGTGGGTGAAAATAGACAAAATTGGGCAGCGACCAAAATTCAAGCATGGTGGCGTGGAATAACAGTGAGTATATCGGACAAAACAATTCTACAACCCAAAACCTAATTATTTTATAAAATGTTTTAATCTAGGAACGTAAATATCTACGATTTAAGAATGAATTACCCGCCGACCGAATCGCAGCACGTAAAAAAATTGAATTTGCAAACGATCAAATGGCGGCGCTGATCCGTCAAATGAACGAGGAAAACGATCGCACACAAAAAGCAATGCAACAAGCAGTCGATCAACAAGAAGCTCTTGTTATTCTATATAAATGTCATCATTTATTGCGTACTCATCAACAGGAAGGAATTTATTCTTGCCATGGAACCAATGAACTATCACTTATCGAATCATTGATGAAAGGATTACCCTGCAAAGAATATATGGACAATGTTCATTTTTTATATAAGAAGTTAGTAAAAAATAAAAGAAAAACGGAGAGCGGGAAGAAAAATATTGTTAGAAAAAGTGAAACAGATAAAAATACGCAACAAAGGGGAAGATCAGACATTGTCCAGGATAAAAATTTACATAAACCGTACGTGGTTCAATTAATACTAGTTAATTGTGTAAATATAGCAAAAAACATATTTTTTTACTTGATATCAACTATTGTTTCAGATTTATACTATTTTCAAAGATCAAAGAAAAACCTTACATTCCGAGTGTTATCACTAACAAGGTAAGACCCGAAAAAGTTAAAACTATGTATCAATTAGAACAAGAAAAAGGTTTTGAATTAACTACGCGCCAAGACTTAAGAAACAGAGATGAACCATACTATATTGACTTCTGGGAAAAGGAAGTTTTGCGTAAACCTAAAAAGGAAAACATTTTCACATGTTCTTAAAACCGCATTAAAAACAAGCATTGTTGGTAATTATACGTATAATCAATTTCCTATAGATACATTGCAACTTTAAATATGTGTTATGTACGCGATTGGTTTATTTAATAGAGCAATTTCAGACTTGTGAAAATTTAAAGTAAAACACAACATTGTTGTGTAATGCAAGTTTTACGTTTAATGTCGTATGAAAAAGCTCTATCACAAAATAAGAATAGAATTTTCTACAATCGCTTACAATCTATTCACCGGATTGATTCATAAACTATTTTTTGTTTGAATTAAACAGCATAACATTCACTTACGGTTTACAAACATTCAAAGTGATTAGAGTAGTTAAGGTACTTGATACTCTGCATATACATTGCTTGAAGTCTCAAACAATCTGGTAGCGGCTTGAAATGCAGACATATCCAATCCACCCTGATGTGGACTCATCATATTATTCTGTCCGTTCATTTGCATGTTGCCCAAAATTAATTCCCTGTGAAACAAAAACAGCAATAAAAAACTGTAGCGTTTACAGTGCGTTATTTGCTCGGTCGGGTTTTATTAGTTCTGAAGCATTAAAAACTATTTGCTTTCGTTGTTCATTATAAGAGCGTATCAAATTGATTTTCCTCGAAACGCGGGCGCGCGCACCACGAAATACCAAAACCTATTAAATCTAGGATGTTATGACTGCTACAAGTGGCCCTTCACGCTTGTTCGGTTAATTCCTGCCAGCGGGCAGTCGACAACGCGAGTCGAACATTAACGCCGCGATTAGCCAGGGACCGCAGGGCGTTAATAATAATGCCGAACATGGCGAGAATAAACTGTCACAAATGGTTAAATCACGTTCGACGAACGCATGCGAACGGAGGAAACAATTTTTATTGCCAGCCAGGTTTACGGCCGATGCGTGATGAACCAACCGTTTGTTCATTTGTGCACGAATGGTGGACGGTGGTCCAATCTACGTATTTCCACGAAATTTTGAATTCGCAATAGACTGCTTCACTTCTAATGACTGAGACTTTATTAATTGTTGAAATTTAATTAAACTCGAGTACGTACGGTCTGGGCTGAGGTGTTCTATCCCTTTGTCTACGATTCTTGAACCAATTCGAGACTTGCGTGAGCGTGAGCCCGGTTCTTTTCGCGAGGCCTCTCTTGTCGTCCGGTGTCGGATAGCGATTCCTCGAATAGCATTCCTTCAAGGCGGTCCTGCTCCTTTCCTTGAAACAATACACCGTCTCCTCTCCATCCCATATCGTCTTTGGCAACGGGTACTTTTTGCGTAACCGGTATTTGTCTACGGCACCTACACATTCATGCAATTTAATTAGCCATTACCTATATTTTAAAGATTGCTTCTGTTAAACCGAATAATTGCTTCAAGATTTTTATATAAATTCATTACATCATATATTCCTACCAGAACAAAGAGTTACAGACCAGCAAACAATTTTTATCAACTTTTTTTGTTAATTTTTACTTAAAACATTTAAAAATTAAAATCAAATAGAATAAAATATCATTCAACAAACCTAATGGTCGTCCACGTACTTTTTCCGCCTCCCGATAATGCGCTTTGAACCAAAGCGTCTGTAAATCGGAATGCCATCGCGGATGAAAAGCGTGCGATTCTAAAATCGCATATAATTCGTGATAAGAACCGCGATGGAAAGCAACCGCAGCTCGCGCTCGCAAAATGCTTTCGTTTCCGCGCAAAAGTTCCGACGGCGGCAGCGACCAAAGAAACGTCGCCAGCCGCTCAATGTTGCCTCGTTGATGTAACGATTCACACATGCATTCGACCTGTAAACAATTCATTCATAAATCAGTCAACAAAGTGTTGAATTTCGCGAGGAAGACAGTGTAATTATTAATGAAAACAAATTAATCAATGAATGTGTAGAAATGCGCGATAATACAATTCAAACAAACAATTTTTATCATTCAGATAATATAATTACTACAACGAATAGTTTGTATCATATTATGTTTATAACATACAATTAATTTCTTCTGGAATTTTTTGTATTACTTACTTGATCCGCAGAAAATCCTAAATTTTTCTTCCCGTAACTATCAAGATTACTTAACTGAATATTATTACTCGTATTCTTTTTATATTATTACCACTTGAATTAGCACTGAAATAATCCATTTTAAGCGGATCTTGTTCCGATGAGGACGGATATTCATCCAATTTTTTATTCATCGTAAAATGTGTATAATCAACATTTTTACGATTATTATACTCTTCACGGTCTTGTTTAACACAGACAACATTATTATTATTCACTGAATACTCGTCCTTTTTATGCAGCATATTGTAATAGTCCTTTTTGGTGTCTTTATTCGAATTCACATGCGGTAAAATCGGCGCTAGCGATTGAAACTTCTTATCCGAATAGAATCCTGATAGGTCCTGTTGTGATGAGTTCGGAAATATCACATCAGTGTAATAATTCATGGAGGTTGGAAATTGTCCCGAATCACTGGAAGCACTGGACGCACCATCAATCTCCATGTTGAACTGATTTTCAGCGACAAATGTTCTATTTGCACATGATTCGCTTATTTTTTGCGAAGCACGCTTGAAACGAACGCGCGGTCGGATTGGCTCTCGTTGCTCTGTGTCGGTTTAATTAGGTTGGCACCTTCGAAAGTGGTGTATGCTCGTCTTACCGTGGCGTTGGTCTAATTACGATGTGATAAGAGGTGCTCGATGTCGCGCCGCGCAGCGTCAACAAGCGTCCGGCGAGTAATTCGCGCGATGAGCCATGTTCTGTGTGTGTTTGTGTATATGTTTAAACATGTAATATGCGCGATATGTGCAACTTGCGCGGCCAGCGCAGAGAGCAAAATGCACCCTGATGTTGAAAGTGCACACGCGAGAATCGCGACCGGCGCCGTCTGCTGAACTCCGCCTCTCGCTGCTTGTGCGTTGCGCAAGCACTGCCGCTACCCTTGGCGACAACCAATGAAAGTGCGGGCGCGTTTAGGGGTTGGAAGTTAAAAGACGCGGTACATACGCGATGTGCTGTAATACATAGAACGGGAGTGCTGGATTATGTAGCTGGATGTGGATGGGCTATGTGCCGACACAATGCGCCGACTTGCAGATAAATATAATATACGAAGGGAAAATCCAGATGTTCTCCGGTGACAATTTTTTAACACCCGACAACCCCGTCGGCGTCGAATTTCAACGTGGCGAGAACGTTTGCATGGAACATGCAAGCGTCGACGATTTATAATCATTAGCTGAGATTATTATTGCTTTTTTTTTATCACATGGTACGAAATGCTTGTGAAATATGTAGATATTTCTAGCTGGCGGGAATAAATTGATAAATGTACGTTTTTTATAGAAATTGGTACTAAAATTGTATAATATTTATTAACATGGCGGGAATAAGCGTGTGTATTGCGTTGTTTTTCTTCTTAGGTGAAAAACAAATCAAATTTTCAGTAAAAAGCAAGAACAATCTAAATAATTATTTAAAATATCAATAATCAATGTACTTTGATTATAGCATTATTTTATTTATAATTTGAAACTATCTTTGCCTACAATATTAATCACTTCGGTAATAGGGGAAAGTCGCTTAAGTCGTACCGTCACGTAAGTCGTACCTCGGTCTTTTCTCTAACTTGAAGGCACTTTATGCAACTTAAAATGCTGTATTCGGGCAGCATGAAATCATACTAGAAGCATATTCTTTAATCAGTTCCCGCCGAATCGGAATTAAGAAGTTATGCGCAAAAATAGTTTTGCTCCTCGTGCTCATCCAATTTCTCCTGGAGCTTGAAAGCATTGGTGGTCAGAAAAACACCACTAAATATGTGTTTCATGTTAAATATTGGGTATACATCTATCCATGTATTGTTTTCTACATGGATTTTGTTAAATATTCCTTCTGATATATTGTTTAAGGTTGTTTTAAGCGGGAAGCACATGTTTGCTAACTCGTACCCCTTTGCGTTTTTTAAGTCGTACCTATAGAACATATGGGACTCAAGGTTTCAGCTGCGCCACGAGGCGGCGCTACGGTTGCGCGCCGAAGATACTTTACTAGCGTGATGAGAATAGGGAAGATAGTATGATTCAGTGCCTCAAATGCAAAATTTGGATGCATGACAAATGTGTTGGGGTGTCCAAACGAGTAAAAAATACCTTGCAAATAAATACATTATTATTAAACTAATATATATTCTCATTTTGATATTACTTTGGCATAGGTACGACTTAGGGTATCGATGGTACGACTTAGGGTACCGGTTTGTTAAGTCGTACCGTTTACACATTTTTCTTAAATTGATGTTTTACAAAAATATAAACATTTCTGATTAATTTTTCTCATACTAATTAAAGCTATATTAACTAAAGCAGGTGAATATGTCAAAAAACTGACATTATGTTGCAAAACTTTCAATTTAGGGCCAATTGTATTTTAGGGGTACGACTTGGCCAACCTTCCCTATAATCTACTATTAACTCACTATAAACAATCATTCTAATGTTACACAAGTTGACATGAAAAGATCAATCGACCACAACATGAAACTCAACACACTTATGAATGAATGAGTTTGGGGACATTCTTTATGTTACCATTTGAATGTATCCATTCAACTATGTCCCTCAATGCATTTTGAACCTTATTCAATAAAACCACCATTGGTTTTTAATATTTTCATGGATTTTTACATAATTTCATCATGTTTAGCACATTTTTAAATTATAAATTTTGCTGAAAACTTTTACAATGACCTGACACATAGATAAAAATCATGTGGTCTAACATTTTCACAAGCCCCATCAAACAATTCGCCCATTTGCACCCGATTTGTCACTTGAAATCCTCTTATCTAAGTGCATCGGAAAATATTACATCATTCGGGTTTTTAAACTCTGCTCGAAGAATGAATAGGAAGGAACACTTTTAGCCAAGCCCGGTAGCTGTCAAGTACCCGGATTATATTAGGTAAATTTAGACTGAAATCATGATAATACCTTTCGAGAGATAACGCCCATATTCAACACATTTGAGCTTTTATTCGTTTCCAAATGTTGAAACTCAAACATTTATTCAGTACCGTATCTAATCCCAAGTAAAAATCACACACATTATATGCGAATGAGTATTTTAAAACATTAAATACGACCCTGAGCAATAGAACTTGTGCCTGTTTTCGTTTTCCATTATCGAATCGCCCGGTTTAATACCTTCGAAAAAATCTTTTCAGCTTAGCACATCATTCAGAAAATACCAAACGCACACAAACACAACACCAACAAGCGTGTTTACATGCACAAGCAGGGCAGAAATTACAACAATCGCACTGCGTACACTATGTAATCCTGTAATACGAAACGTGCCATTGTCATTGCGCAGCGTAATAATGTCGCAAATGGCTCTCGCACCCGAATCCAATCTGGTGGTGCTACACGCTCGCGACGAGTGGCGGACAAGAACGCAATGCGACGCAATTGAATTTTCAAATAAATAGGCGAGGTGTTACGAGTGCTTGTACGAGTGTTTGTTTGCCTTTTACATGCCCGATTTCATTATCAATGCACTTCAAAAGGAAGCGTCTTTGTGCGAATGCGAGCCATCAAGAGCGCGCGCACAAAAGCGGACAAGCTGCAATGAATGCAATTGCATTTCAAGTGTCAAATGAGAATTTCAACATTTAACACATCAAAACATCCACTTTATCAATATTTAATTATAATATATTATTTTAACTATAAAATCTGTTGTTCCAATAATATATCCCCAACACAATTATCACAAATGACAAGAGCTTACTTGCAGTAACAACCTCGCAGCAATTACAGCCGTAACAGTAATGTTAGTGTGAGTGTGCGTGTCATATGAAAAGGGGTTGTTCCTCGCACCTGCTGGCTTGCTTGGTAACAGTGTGCGTGGTTGCCATACACGCAACCCCAAACCCCAGCATCTCTCGCAAAATGACTAGTCGCTCGCTGTGAATGTGTAGCGCATCGCTCGTGTCTAATTGAAATGATTTGAGCTCCCGGTGGAGTTAATTATAGGACGCAACGTGTAACAGGAGCCTAACAGTATAATATATCATCGTTCAAATGCTTCGTGTTATCGGAAAACATACCAACGTGAAACAGAGGCTGGCGAGGCAAATAACGACAACAAAATGGCTTCCAAGACCGCCAAAAACACAAAAAACACATAAAAATCGATATTTTAGTACAATTCCTGTTTTAATAATAAGTAACAATAAAAATATTAAATTTTTAACTTTTTAGTTGTTTTAGAACTCTCTGTATGATGATCTTGAAAGCACCCTAAAAATCTCCAAACAGGGGATAAATTTAATCATCCTATTATATCGATATTGTTAGTGCGAAAGTGGCACTTTGATCGCTTAATTAAACACCCCGCAAACATAAAAATCTGACGTGATTTATAAACCATGAGAGTTGAAATAATCACATGCATAATTAAACGTGGTGGTTACATTTGGGGTCTTTGCACCCGTTCGTGTGTAATAGTATTTTTTATAATCTCTGTCTACGTGAATTCTGTGTGTTCCGTCACCTACGTTGAAGTATGAGATGGACATGTGTAAATTCTACGAGCGCTACGAGTTCTACGTGCGTTTTCGTGTCACTTTGTCACTTCAGACAAGAGGGAAAGATTACCAGCTGAGGAATTACTGACGATCTTCTCAAATTCATACAGTTATCACGCTCACGTCCTATTCTATTACGATAATGTCATTTAATTGTTCAGCATCGTTTATTTATCACCTTAGAAGGCACGTAGAAGTTGAATAAACTCTGACATCACAAGGATGTTTGTTTTAAAGCATTTTTGATGTTTTGAGAATTTCTATCTAAAATCGTTATTTTTTTACTTAAAAAATTAATTGACTTAGTCATAAATTAGGTTAAATTTATTGCTTGAGTTTTTGCTCTTGACTTTGGCCAGTCCAATTTAAGTCATTTTAAGAAATATGCAGCTTGTGACGCCTGCACACGAAAATCGTTACGGTCCATTACCAAAAACACGCTCGGTGGACAGACCTCAACCTCGTGTTAACATCTTGAACGATTTTTTTTTAACTTTTAATCGTTTTTCATTTATGTTGAGACAGGTTTCATAAAACTACAGTTTATATTAATTAACAATATCTCACATAAATCTTTGTGTGTCGAAGCTGAATATAAAAAATTTACCAGTTAATAACATTCGAAACTCGTGCACCTTGTTTATAAAAAAGCACATGCACTTGATAAGATTAAAATACTACTGAAATGAATTTTTTATACAATTTTATTAACTTCGTGACAAACAAAGTAAGTGTTCTAGGAATTTCATGGTTTAGTGCAACAAACAGTTAATAATATATGACATTCAAGTAACATTTGAGTTTATACTTAATGTTAGTACAAAATTAATTAATTAATGTTTATTTAAAAAAAACATCAATAATCTTGTTTTTGTTTATTTAAATATCTATAAAATTTAATCTTAAAAAAATGATTTATATAATACGTGAAATGTGCAAAATGCATATTTAAAATGGTGGAGCAAAACATGCTCGCTGTTCCTGGCTCAGCAAGTTTCGAAATGCGCTTACGAATCGACGCACACGTTGTTTGCAAAGTGCGGCGCACATTCAGCACTCTCCCACGGTGTCCTCGCACACATTCACGGATACGCGGATGAGAGAGGAAGGAAATCGCAAAAATGCTGCACTTATTGACACAAAAGGAATTTTTCATTTGAATTTATTGGCTGTATCTACGTTTGTTTACGTAGGATATGAAATATTTAATGGTCAGCATATAAAACTATAACATAATATAAATACAAACACTATTTCCGTATTTAGTTATTTTGTTAGCAGTGGAAACTTTTAATGCAACCCTAGTATTGTGCTGTTTCCCGAATTTTCAATGCAACTAAAAGAAAAATGCAAGTTAATAACATAGGATAAATATTGAATGTACAAATGTAGAAATAAATGAAAATATTTACGGTTCGCAATGTTCATCGGGGGGAGTTGTGGTACATGTTTTGCCGGACTCACATTTAAAGGATAGATCCTGTATTAAAACATTGTCACCATCACATTCCCAATATATAATACATTCCTTAATACATCTGGAATGGTAAATAATTTGAAACAAATAAGTGTGATAGAAGGTGATCTATGAAAGATAGCCATGAAGCTCATTTATTTCGCTATAACTTACGCCATACATCCATCCTTCAACTCTTTATTACATCGCTTGAAATCTGGACATTCAAATTCCATATTGCCAACTTTGATAAAAGTATCGTTTGTACAGGTAAAAGACGTACCGCAAGCTAATTTCGTACTAATGCAACTATAACAATATGGTTGAATTAGACTATGTAAAATCTAATAAATCGAAAATAAATTAGAATCACTCACGGATTACAAAAATTTTGCTCAGCTAGATAGTTGGCATTGCAAATGTGATCTGCTGGACAATCGTGGATGTCTTCCAAAATATTTACTTTGTTCGGAGGAGTCTTGTCGCATGTAAAAACTGTCTTGAAATTGTCGCACGGTGTGGCCGATTCCACCCCACAGCATACCACTGCAAACAAAAGAACTGCAAAGAAATATAAAGAACCTTTAATGATCATTTTGAGCAAAATTCAAAAGTGATTGATCCATGTAAGTTGCTTTCCGAACTATTTATACAGCTTCAATGATATAAAAATTCAATAATCAATTTGATATAAGTGGCTATATTACGTAACATAAATACAAAATTGAAAACTAAAAGGATGTGATATAATTGATAAGTAAATACAGAAACGTGTCTTATTTAATAAAAAAAATCCATACAAATTAATTGTATATTAAGTAATAAGTGGCTAAACGAGCGAGTTTTGTATTTGAACTTGTGGATTTTAAATCTTCAATTCGCTTGTCATGCTGGTTATATTTTAGCAATTATTATTGGTTGATATAAATTTTATTATAAATTTGAATTGAATAAGTATTTATTTATAACATTTGTAGTGGTTTTTGATAACAATGAAAACGTTTAATTACGCCGCTGGTTTTGCAATACAACTAAAAAAATACAAATTAATTTAAAAAAGCATTAAAAAAATCAGGATATTTACGCTTCGCATTCCGTGGGGGGAATCTTATCGTTGCATATTTTATCCGTATCACACGGATATTTTACACCGTTGATTAAGAAATGAGTTGGGTCAGCTTTATCACATGTCCAAATGACTTCGCACTCTTTCTTAACACATCTACAAATAAATAATTTTAAAAAAATGTTTGATAGAGTAATATTACTATATCTCATTAGACACTTACGGTTCGCAGCTGTTTTTCAAATCTGCATTACAATGTTGCTCTGCACCACAATTAAATTGGTTTAAGCCCATTTTGAATGTTGTTTCGTTAAGACACGTGAACACTGCGCCGCAAAATAGTTCCATTGTAATGCAACTATAGTAATTACAATGAATTAGGTTATTATTAAATATGAATTAAATTTACTCACGGACTACAAGTGGCTTCAACCTCCCGATAATTGACATTGCAAGTAAAACCATCTCCGCATGAATAGTTTTGTTCTAAAATGGTGACTACTTTGGGTTCACCAGTTACGCAACGATAAATGTTCTCATAATTGTCACAGGGTAGGGTCAACACCAAACCGCTGCACACTGCTGCAAGCAAAAGAACTGCACAGGAATAAAACAATACAAAAAAAAATTATGTCAACACCCAACCTTTACCGATCATTTCGGTTTAGTTTTACACGTAAATCACTGAATAAGTTTAGTGATGCATGAAAATTATTTTCGGGGATATTTATACTATTTTAATCTGTGAAAAGTTGAATAATCTATTATTTGACAAAAATAAATATTAAAACAAATAGGAATGCTTAGAAAACAATAAATACATATGAAAAATGATAGAGAAACAATGAAATCAATCAACAACTTTACATTGCAAAACAATTTATATAAAAAATGCATTTCTGGTTAATTATAAACAATGAGTATCAAAAGGTCACAGACGCATTGAAACACCTAGTCGAATATTCAATTATTATAAATAGATTCTAGTTTTTAATTTTGTTTTTTCGTAAGCCCGATAAAATCACGAACAACAAACAAAGCACTTCAACTAATCAAAATGTCTACAATTAATGAAGTGGGTAATTAATAAAAATCAACTTCGATGAATCAATAAACTAGTCGTGTGTGATTGCGTTAAACGAATTTTTATTTAACGGTTATCTGTATACACGTTTTAAAATTGTACTTGTCACTCAATAAAAGTAAAGTTTATGTAAAAATATTACTTCAAGATAAGATACAGATCAACAAGTAAGAAAATATTCACAAAAATATTATTTATAAAATATCATTAAATCAAATTAACAAATTCTAACAAAGTGCATAATTTGTACGCACTATAAATATCGAATTTTGATTTTTTTATTTAATTAAATATAATTGTGCATTTTAAAACACTCGAAATGATTTTTAATCGAATCAAATACATTAGATCAGTTTGTTAGTAAATACTATATCTATTAATAATTTGGTAATTATGTTCAATGTAATATTTAAAATATCCACACACGTTGTTTTGTTCCTATACATTTTTATACTTTACGTTACAATACACATTTATTTAATGGAAGACAGACCATGGCAAATTTATTTTCAGTTTCGATAAATCTGTTGTTTCGCTCTTTTTTACACATATTTTCATTTCACACAATGCGATAAGTAAACAAGAATAATGTTGCAGCAACAAACATCATTGAGGTTCAGTTAATATATTTTTTATTAACTTAAAACTGATATGTAACCGGGTGACCGAGAATTAACATTTTGATTCAGTTCTGTTCCGGTTAAAATTGCAATTTTTATTACTATTTTACGTATGCAGATCTATAAAATCGTTATCACATATGAGAAATGTTTGCCGCTGGAGATATGTGCATTCAAAGTTTATCTGATTTACATCTCTAATGAAAGCTGTATATTTAATATATTTGCCATATTATCAACATTGTTTTTTCTTATTACTACATAATTTCAATAGGATTCGTATTTTATATTTGTGGTTAATGAAGTATTCATCAAAATTAAGTTTAAAATAACCTGAGACGTCTTGCAAATAATAATTAGTCATAAATACTTGTACAGTAGCTCAACTTTCAGACAAATTTATTACAATTGTTGTAAATTAAAGTCAAATAGGCAACCTGCACACAAATTAAGTATTTTTGTAACGAAAACTGGTAACACTGATCAACAGTATTGCAATTTAGTAGTATGACGTCGTATGTAACTGCTTTATAAAAATTTGAAACGTTTAAATGTTCAATACTTACTTTCATTAATATAGTATGTTAAATATTTACGTTTAATCTCTATCATCGTTTTGTGTAACTAGTATTAGCAATACGTAACTAATTATATTCAATATTGTTTTATTAGCATCTAGTTTTGCACCATATTTAATTGAAACCCAACCCGAATGCAAATATCACATTAGAAATACAAGAATCAATAATTTTGCAACAATGAGCGCATTACGAGTAGAAACATCTGAAGAGAAAACAACGCCGACTATAATGAATTAAATTCGACTCATTTAACTAAACTCGATTCTTTTGATTATATTTATATATCCATTTAAAGATCGATCAACCAACAATAGTGATCCACTTACATTTCGTTTGGTAACTGTCGCATCGTTTCAGAGTAACTGTTTCGTACTGTCGAAGCAAATTGAAGTGAATTTCATCGTGCTGATGAAATTACTCCATGTTGTTGTACTGAACCTTCTTTATTTTGAGATAGCGAAAGATTCCGTATCCGGTTACTGTGCCAAGGACGGCGATGGCGAGTGTGGATCCGACTGCGATCGGGGCGGTTTCATCGCGGAAACGCTTCGCCGAATTACAATCGAAGATCGGCCCGAAACTTTTACCCTTGTACATGAACGATTGCAGTTGTAGTTTGCGTAGGTATACTGTACCGCGGAGATCTTCTGGTGGTGTGTCGTCGATGTTTGGCAATAAAGTTATGATGGTTTCTTCGCAACCATATGATTTACCCACTGGTGTAGGTAGCAACATTTTGTCATGGTATAATCTTATGACGTTGCCTACAGGAAAAATTTAAAATTTAGTTATATTCAAGATGGCGATTTGAAAAGACAATATTCAAAATGGCTGAACATTGTTTTATAGGTTAAGTATCCTACTGAGGCAAAAGTTTACGCAAAATTTAAGAATATTTTATTGAAGAACTTACCATGACTACGAATGTTATGATAAAATGGAATATCGGTGCTAACAATCATAACGACATTCTCGATGTACCATCGCTCACCACCCGGAGTCTAATTAAGTAAAATGAGCAATTAGAGTAAACAGCGTGTAAACCTAAATCGTATCTAGAAGCTAATTAGTTTTTATCGATTTATAATGCACCCCCGCATAAAACTCCCACACACGGTTAGAAAATGTTAGAGATTGCGTGTGTTTTAACGTGGGCGGACAATGTTTGACATTTAATTTACGAATGTAGGATGATTTACCTTCGCAAAGTCGAACTGCAAGGAATAACCAGGCCACAAAATGCGCATCGTCGCTTCATCTTCGTCCGTACAGCTGCCTTCCACTGTTGCTTTTTCCGGGATGTATGTGTCGCCTTGTTCTTCGCCTATGTGTGATTTAAAGTTTACCTGAAATACAATTTTAGAATAATTATTTATTATTTTTCCTAATTTCTTTACTTTACTTGTTAAGTAAATTTCTCTTTGACAATTGAGAATAGAATTAAAGTAAAAAAGTTCTACTCACCTCGATGAGAGCATCGGTTTTTAACAAGATACATGTAATCCCTTTACTATCCCTGACTCTGTAATACGAGACGTCGGTGGGTGCGGGAGTCACGGGTTGATTCGCTGGCGTCACCAAGGACCCGCTGCCTGGAATTGCCGTCGACGAGCTGTATTTGGTGTGTCGTGGCTTCGACGTTACTTGATTTGCGAGAGTTAGGCTGGATGCGTACGAAACTATCGAACCTGCAGAGATATGTGGATTATTTATCAATAAAATATTTTTTTAAATCTAAAAATATAAAGTAATTTTATGAATGTCGAAGAATATTGTTTTGTAAGGTATTATTTGGAATGTATAGAAGTACTGGGAATATTTTTAGAATATTTATTTTAGTGTGATAAAATAATAACTATGCCTTGATATAAAATTTGGAGGTTATTTCAATGTCAAAGCTAACCTATATTGACAAAATATTACCACATTAGAATAACATTCGCAGGATAATGTATTTTACCCAAAATACCCATGTTTTAAATAGAATATAATAAATCATGTTTCCGTTTAATAGATTTATAGCTATAAAAGTATATTTTTTGAATTTGTTTATTATTAATACACTAGAAAAAGTACTGGAAACTACGCTTATCCATGAAATATTTTTCTAGTTCTCCAAAAACGAAAATAATTCGATATTGTACGAGTAATAATCGCATTTGAACACGTTCTTGAATTAAATTTATCGATTATCACCGTACACTTTTGTCCCATTATTCCTGTTGGACCGCCCCGAAGGGCGCAAACAACAAATCATGTAACAGGTGAGTAACAGCATTAACAGCTTCCCAGCAATTCATTGTCAGTACTAATGAATTTTTGACACATTGACCTAATTTTATCCTACCCGACCATCATCACTAAAATTTACACATTGCACATCGCTACAAAGTCGAAAATCACACTAAATTTAATAATCTCTCAAATTATCATTTGGTAAATGTTTTAATGATATAATCTTTTTGCTAAAACGTGATTTACATTCAAGTGATAGGAAAGAAAACGCCTAACAAACGAACTGTTCATAAAATCAATTTTACGCACTTACTGGATTAAAAACAATGATTTTTATAAAATCTATAAGCTTTTATTTGATATTAAGAAAAAATGATTGTACTTACATATCACTAAGCATTGCAAATACCCAACTAAAGTTTCCTTATACATTGTGACGATGTTTAGTAACAGCTTAAATGTAATATTGCTCGATTTAACAACCTAATATTATATCGGGATATGTGGTACGTCGCGCAGAAGCCGGATGGGTCGTGCGATGGTGTTTCACTTCATGCGACTTTTGTTATTTTTCGACGTGTGCTCTCGTGTGCTGCGGGTACTTCAAGCGTCGCGACGCGCCGTCAGCCAACATGCGCCGTGCGCGCTTTGCCTACGCAGCGGCGCGTTCACCCTTCGTCAATATTTGGACGTTTGCGCAGAGTTTCCTTTGGCTCGTTATTCACTACTACCACTAATACCGCTAATACAGCTATTCTGTTAATTACATTACTAACTATATTGCTGTAAATTCCTATTTTAATTTCGGTAATGTTCCCATTAAATTGAGATTCAAAATTATTAATTAAATGCCAAGAAAACTATTTAAATACATGAAACGTGTATTTTTTAATTTATGCTTTAATTTTTAGTAATTCTTTGAATTTAAGAATATTTAATAAAAGATAGAATTTAAATTTTCCACAAATTTAGCTTTGAATGTGTGGTTGCCTGTAGCTCAACTTTTTTTTTCTATTACGTATAGATGTTTGCCTATATCACATACCTACGCTGAACTTAAATTGATAGTATTCGTATTGTTGTACAGATGGCGCTCGCATTTAGTTTGAATTGTTTGTTTGCAGATAATATCTTTATCTTTACAGCACTTTTAAATAACCCTAAATGTTTATTTAGACTCTTATCAAATATGAAAAACATAAGCCGTTCGTACGTTTGGATAAATCTGTATGATATTTCTCTACAGCAAGAATAATATCACTGTATTTTGGGACTGCTGATGTAGGTATGTCTTCCGTTGGGCGCAAGAAAGAACCAGCGCAAAGCGCGTGCGCGATTACAGTCACCTTGTGAGCGACGTCACCGCTGGTAGAGCAAGCAAAGACGTACGCCTAGAAAGCCCCTGCCCGCTGCGCTTCGTATCGACAATGCCCGCTGGTCGTGCGGCACGTCGCAGCGCGGTCACTGTGTATGTGTACGGGGGCACGGCCATTTTGTTAAGTGTTCTAAAAGTATGCTTTTTTGAGGTGTGTGTCTGCTTTCAAGGGATAATATAATCGAACGTTGTGCATAATTATTATATGGGTGAGTTTGTTTTCGCTAACGATATCATTGCTGCACGGTGGCCGCGACGATTTGCCGAGAATGAGCGGACGAGGTGGTGTGTAAATGTGCCTGGTTTCGGGGCCGTTGGCAGGCTCGCTAGCCTAGGCCAGTCGGCGCTGGTGCACGGTTCGTACGTACGACGGGACACGGTGTGGCTTTCACCGTTCCTTCGCGTACACGGGGCGAACCGCACATCGCGACCCGCGGATCGTACAAACGCCAGACGTCGTGCGCGCCTTCGTTATATCGTCGTCGATGAAGTGCGGTTTGCGATTTTATCAGCTCACGATAAGCGTTTGGTTGGTTATCTCGCGTTGCTCGTTCTTTTTTTTTATTCACACGGTACGCCTGCATGTGTAGCCCCGAAATAAGTGTGCGTGTGTAGGTGTGTGTACGTGTGCAAGCGCCAAATCAGCGCCCGATGTGTTTATAATATCATTTCGGCCTTTGTGTGCGTGTGTTATCAAGATAAGGAATGACGTGCGGTAGGCGCCTAACTTGCGCATAGACGGGATGCATTGTGTGCGTGTCTTTGACTAGCAAAACTGTCTGTTCGCACATCCAGTAGCATTTCTTGCTGATATATACTGTAGGTATGTCTGAATATACGATATTCACCTATGAGGCGTAGGCTCACAATGAGACCCTGTAATACCGTAACGTATGATAGCAGACGAAATTCTTGAGATGCTCCGGCTCGTTGGCCGGGGAAGGTGAGAAGTCTCGAGAGGCAGGCCGCAATCAAGTATGCCGTACAACACATCCACGAGACAGCCTAATAAGGCATTTCATCTGTACCTTCGCAGACAGGCATAACGATATCTCGTGTCGGTGGTTATTTGTACCGATGTGCTGCTTCTTGCACTCGATCTACAGCTCTTCACTGGTGTTTATTTAGATGTAGAAAACGCTGCCGACGGTGGCGTTACACCGCCTGCGAACGTAAGTGAGTCATCGTCGTCTTCGTTGAGCCAAGAAAGAGACTGGTTATAGGCTAGCAACCTTAGTCAGTCAGTCGGGGTCAACACTACCTACTTTCAATATTCAGCCAACACTCGACGTGATGCTGTCGCCAGTCTAATTTGACACTATGGATTCATATTCGTGCAATATTCTAATTGGTCGAGCGAATGCAGCCAAAGTAATGAATTTTTATCGCTGTGTGTACGTCGTGTCGGTGCCAATTTTGAAATCGTATTTTCCAAACAATTTGCTACGAATTGGCAAACAAAAATATTGTACCAACCGGAATGTTCCATGATTCATTATTACGGTTTTTGCTATCATACTTGAGTCAGATCACCGCGAACAAGCAACGATTTTATATTATTATCCGCATGCTTGCATTTAATTTCTTAGCGTGTAAAAAATAGATTAGAATAGATGAAAATTCGAAAATAAATCGGTTTCCTTATGCGCTAGGCCTATATTATTAATGTGCTATTAAGAGTTGAACGCAACATTGCAACCGCTTCGAGGAAACAGAGTCAGCGGGTAATTTATTAGATTGCGTATTGTGTCGGCGCGCTTTTCGCAAGATGAATGTTTTTCCATACTGCGAGGTCTTTCCTCTTGGCGTCATTAAGATGGGTTGTAGGTCGCGTTGTCGTGTACAGCATAAAACCGAGATTTCGAAACTAATAAAACTACATGATGAGCTGAGCGCCAACATCAATCGGCCAACTAACATCCGACATTTACAAATTATGCTGTAGTTTGTTACCTGAACGTGAACGTAACGTATCTTTATTGTTGCGTGTGCGGTATTAATAAAAAAATGTAACTCGCACAATGGTTTATCGCATTATTTATAGATTCAGCGTTGAATTTCGTATCCGTTACGAGCTACCAATTATGTATTTTTAATTAATCATAGTTAACGGTTTATACACGAAATAAACATAATTGAATTTAATTGTGGTGGTGGTGTTGGTGTTGGCTGCGCGGTTGGCAAAAAAGGTAGTATTTTCCTGTTTGTAATAGAATTTGTGACCATCTGCCTACTTCCTTTGAAGTGGAATGTTGGAAGCATGGCATTCAAATAGGTATTGCAAGCGCCCTACCTGCACCACTTGTGTCTAATCTAGGTTTTCGATGCATTATTCAGCTACACACAATGTGTCAGCACTAATTCAAACTTGTACTTGTTTTTTTTTAAATTGATAAGCTTAGATAGGTTCAGGTATCGATCAATTAAGATGTGCGTATTTCCGAGGACCTTTATTTTGGAGTGCTGAACGATTGATAGGGCTTTCGGAGTAGTATTAGGTAACCACCTGAGACATGAGGTATGTGAGGTTGTGTTCAACGGGTTTCCTCTTTAAAAATGCATGTGTTCAACGCGCCAAGAAAATATCCGTCTCTCAGCGCAGGGCTATAAACGTTTACAAGTTTTCGCCCGCATTTAAAGTTGCTAATCGATACTGTTTAATTATTAATCGTTTACAAGCTGAATAAAATTCCACTGCGTGTTCGAATACAATTACGATGAATTTGTTATCGTTACAATTTGCTATATTTATTTTTCATGTTATGATTCCATTTAAACGTAAATAAATACACATTGTCTATCTTGCTGAACGTCGGGTCGTGATTTTAATGATAATTAATATACAATTTATATATTTATTTAGTGTATTTGACGAATCATTGTACTTATTGTTTATTTGAGCACAGTACAGACGAATATTGCTTCGGAAATGGTCATAAACAAGCCGGAATGTTAATTTTCCAACATGAAAATAAGTTTTAACTGCAGTTGAATGTTTAAACTAAACACAAAGTAGCAGTGTGGATATTTAACATATGATTGTCGTTATAAACAAAACATTTAAGCACGGTTGTTGTTGCCGCGTGTTGCTTAATCGATTGTGCACCTGCGATAAATTAGAATACTTGAACACGTGCCAAAAATATACTCGTAGCGCGTAGTACATCGCAGGACATTGAACACTCGGAAAATGTTAGTGAACTTCTGGTATAAAATTTTACTGTTTTCCAACTAGTCGAAATTCTACATTTAGGTGCGAATAAATCAATTTTTATAGTGCGGCATTTTCCAGCAGTATTTATTCCCTTCAATACGAAATAATATTCATCGCACGTGTGTGTATATTTGGACATGCAAAGGAAACATTTATGGCTGATTACATTTTATCCATTTAAAGCTTTTACTTTAAGCGTTTGTTAAAAGATTTATCGTAAAGGTCCAAAACGAAACAAAGTATTTCTAATTACACTCCCGAGTTATAAGCATCAAGTTAAATATAAGTTTAGTTTCAAAGTTTATAAGTAGCATGCGATGCAGTTCAGAATATAGACTAGCGTAAATAATGGCGGTGCTTACAGGTTCGCAGAATATTTTGTTACGAAAATTACTTATCTTTAAAAATAGGTAGATGGTATCTTTAAGATAAGCACATTGTAGTATAGTTTAGAAAAGGTTTTTTATGTTTGATTTCATATCGAATGTCATTTCAATTCGACGCATGTCGTAATTTCTGTGGTTATTTGTTCCGTGTTCATTTGTTGATTTGGAGTATGTAAGAATATGACCTACTACTTAACGTTATTGGTATGAACACTTAACGTGCCATAATTAGATTGAATTCGACAAACATGGAACGCGGTTACTCAAGCACTGTAATATGTTGAATTGTTTACATAAGCTTCATTATTTAATTCAACAAGGAACAGTAAAGTGTTACATTCATGAAGCTAAAGATTATTATTTGAATCCAATTACGCGCTTGATATAGAGGACGTTGTGAATCACACTAGTAGTATCAGTGATTATATCAAATTAGTTTTAGGCAATCGCGTGATGCAATAATCGAGTTGATAAATTTAGGATTTATCTCGAAAATGGCTTTTGTTTAGTTACCGACTATTGATTATTCAATTAAATTTGATGTTTAATTTAATTGTGTTTTAAAAATAGTGATTTGCACTATATGTGTGTTAGCCATCTTTCAGTGGTACGATTTAACGCGAATTCGAATGATAACGGAATATTTGTTGCTGACCTGAAAGCAACGACATGTGGCATAATTAAATTATTACATGGCTTCAGTAAATATAGTAAAAATGTGCTAA